AGAACTAGGGCCTATCTTCAATATTATTTCTCCCCAAATATATAAAATTGTACTTTATATATTTGTAAAGCATTTTCCACTAATACTGCATCTTTATTTATCTTAAGGGACATATTTGGAGAAGACTGTGTTAGTGTAAAAGATGGTTCTATCCTTAGCGTCACAGTGGACGGAAAAACTGCTAACATAAACTTGGAGACACGGGTATGTAGCTGTTCATTCCTACATTTTAAGACACTTGGGAGATAAAGTGAAAGCAAAAATAATCTATTTTGCAGTTTACTTTTGCATTTTGGCGTTTTCTTCCAGTTTTTTTCCTACTTTTTTTTAATAGATTGTGTTTATGCTATCATATGTCAGGTTTTACATCTTTTATTTCTCTGTCATAAGCGTTTTTCCATTTGCTACATAGTACACATTTCCCTTGTCTTTATTACTCCACTGTTTTACATTTTCATAATGGAAAGCCTTAATCCACCTCAGCATTTCTCTACTTTGGCATCCAGTTGATTCCAGACTTTCAGAGAAGCTGCTCTTCTGTTTGCAGCAAGATCCAAGTGGCTTTTCCAAACAATAGAACTTGAGAGCGTGAGGCCCACGCCCACCGCACCAGCAGACCTTTCATAATTATTTCACAAGCATAAATGAATAAGTATCATCTTCCTTGTGGGGTTGTTTTTGAAGATTACAACAGTTCATCTACTAAACAAGTAACATGTTTGGGGTTTCTTCTATATATTCTTTTGAGAAAACACTAGGTTTATTTTACCTCGATAGAAAAATAAGCTAAGAACATAAACAAGTAATTCACTAGAGAAGACATATAGAGAGCCAGTAAACACATGAAACAAATGTTCAGATCAGATCCACTAATAATTAAAGGAAATACAAATTGAAAGTATGAAATATCACTGTTTTGAGCTTATATTGGCACAGATTAAAAACAGTGATATGACCCAGTGATGGTGAAAGAAGAGGGAAACAGTTATTTTCCAGTGCCACATAGGACAGGGAGAAGGTTGTACGTTAGGTGGTGTGTTCTTTCTGCAGGGCGGTTTGGTGATCTGCATCAAAAGCCTTAAAAAAGTAAATACCTTTATCCACAATTCCACTTGCAGGACTTAACAAAGAAAATAATTAGGCAAGTGAGCAAAGATATATATATATACAAGCATGTCTATTTTAGTATTGATTAGCAAAACTGCAAGAGACCTAAATTTCCAAGAGTAGGATCTAATAAAATAACTGAATAAATAATGTGTATGGTGTGCCCTTATACATGGAATACTATCTATACAGGCACTGGAAACGGTTCATTCAGGTGCAGAGTTGTCCACCTACATTATTGAGTGGGGGGAGTTACAAGATAGTCAGTGTGCTGAATTATCCCATGTTTGTTTTGAAGAAATACACATGTATAGCCAGAAGTCTAGAAGGTTAGGCACTGAAATGTTAACAGTGATTTATCATTAGGTCACAGAATTAAGGGTATTTTTTTTCTTTCCTAAATTTTTACATGAGGGATATTTACTGTGTGATAAAAGTTGTTTTAAACAGCATAGTGTTCTGTAGTTGAGGAGTAACTGCATGAGGGATATTTACTGTGTGATAAAAGTTGTTTTAAACAGCATAGGGTTCTGTAGTTGAGGAGTAACTGGAAGATGATGAGTGACTCTAAACCAAATTTAATACCAAATGTTGATTAGATGACCACATCCATTGCTTGCTAAGTAATTTGTGGCGCACAGACTAGATTCCTTGGAGTATTATCTACTAGATCCAAACATGGGCTTTGAAGTAAACATAGTTCAGTTGACTTTCCCTTTATTCTTTTTTTTTCCAAAGTTAATCTCTAACAAAGTCATCGTGCTCTCGGGAATGTCTCTGCATCCAGGTGCAGACCCACAGGTGTGCAGTGATTCTGGCTCTTAATAATCAAGACCCCCCACCCCTATGGAAAACGATTGTTCTTAAAGAGCATTAGTTTATCTTCCATATAATAATTCTAGACACTTCCGTTGAAAGGCATGTCTGTGCTCTCGCTTTCAGACTGTAGAATGTGAAGAAGGAAGTGAAGATGACGAGTCCCTCCGAGAAATGGTGGAACTGGCGGCCCAGAGACTATATGAGGCCCTCACGCCAGTTCACTAATAACCTTATGTCTCTGTAGATGTTAAACTTTTTTGTAATGCTTGACTCTACTTCTGTTACTTAAAATAAAATACATTAATTTCTCTGGGGTAGCCTATTTACTTTTGATGGCAAATGGCCTTTATTCCAGCACCTATTTGAATACTGCTAAATTACCAACTCATTTGTCCATTATTCTAGCACTGCTAAATAAACTGCCGTTACTGATTCTGCTTCTGGGGTTGTATGCAGCTCCCACTGAAACCTTTAAGATCTGCTCATAGCATCTGAAACAGAATGTATTATTGTCCGTTTTCAGGAAGGAAATGAGTGATGGTTTGAATTTTCATATCCATTTTCTGAATTTGAATTAATAATTACATATTATCACTTAAAGTTTTAAGCCCTTTTTCTATTTCTTCCCTCCCATTATTCTTGACAAATTCCTTAATTTATATGTCTGTTAAATTGGGACTTTTGAGATTCAATAATATTTTCTTTGTATGTCTACATTCAATTCAGAGATATTCAAAATATAATTTTTATGACTCAGGTTCAAGGGTTTGTCATGTTTGTTGAATCGTTTCCTGTATAACTTAATCATTAATCCATTTTCTTCCAAGTACGAGCAGTTCAGACTTGCAAGTAACTGGACACAGGATTGTCGGGTGCCGGGTGCTGGGGGAGCAGGTCGACTGCCCGGGGCGGCTTTGGCCTCTACTTCAGTGAAGGGTCTGGCTGCTCCCTCAGCAGAGGGGGTGGGAACAAGCACGGGAAGGGGCAGCTAAAGAGCTGTTACCCTCACTGTCAAGCTAAAGCCATCCGTCAGCCACAGTCACTAATTTGCACTGACATTGCTTAGTCCTTCCCTGTGCTTTGGTGACACACTTCGGTGCCTGAATCTGAATTTTTACTTGAAACCAAATACATTTATTTCTATAAGATACCCTACTTTGTCTTTGGCCCAAACCAAAGGCCTAAGGGTCACCTTTTATAAATGTCATATAAGAGTGTGTTATGATAGATGTTAAAACATTTTTAAGTTACCAAAACTACACACTTGTGATATCTTTACCATGCAGGTTATACACAGCAAAAATGGCAAGCCCTTTCTGCTAGCCCCTCTCCCTGAGGTAGCCGGTTTCAGTTAAGGATTCTAAATTGCTCTTGAATCTGTCCTCATCTCATCTCCACTGTGGTTCGGAGTCCAAGTCATCTTTTCCCCTCTGGTTCCTGCCCCAGCTTCCTTCCCTCCTCTCCCTATAGCTGATTCCTAAAATAACAGATCTGCTGAAAGCCTCCCTGCTGAAAATCCTTCAGGGCTTCTTTACTGTGATTAATTAGGATGAAATCCAAACACCTTAACTTGGCCTAACAGGGGTTCTTTACCCTGGCTGCATATTGGAATCACCTGGGGAGCATTAAAAATGTACTGATGCCCACGACCTACCATCAGAAGTGTTGTTAGTTGGTCTAGAGTGGTGGTCCTTTATCAGCACATTCTTAAAGCTCCCAGTTGATTCTAGCTGAAGCCAGGGAAATCCAGCCTGAAGACGGGGTCCCGCTTTGTATCGCCCTACCTGCCTCTCCAGCTCCAGCCACTCTCCCCCGCAACACCCTACGTCCAAGCCACGGAAACGGCAGCTATTCTAACACACACTGCTCCCCTTCTGGTTTTCACCTTAAACTCAGTTGTTTCAGGACACCCTTCTGGCTCGATTTTATCACAGCTGTCACACTTCATTAAGTGCTTGAGCAAACCTCTGCCAGGCTCTTCTGTCTTCTCTCTGACTAAGCCCCCCCCCCCACCTTGGGTCCTGTCCTTGGCCCCTTCAGCCCAGTTGTAGCAAGAATCTCGCCGAGTCGGTTTAGCAAAAATCCCTCCCTCTTGGTCTGATTCCCCTGAGTAGCTGCTCAAATTCCGCATCCTGATGTCACTCTGCCCTGCCTTCAGCAGGAACCCTGTCAGGGCAGTTTAGCAAAGATTTACCCCGCCTCTTAGTACTTTTACATTCACCTGACCCCTCACCCTGCTCCTTGGCTATAAATCCCTTTTCTTTCTTGTATTTAGGGTTTAGCCTAATCTTCCCTACTGCGAAAGCCCACCATCGTTGTCCTTCCTGGATAGTCGGCCTTACTGTCTTTAGCACATGTCGTCAGTTTCTCTTTGAGGTCAAAACGCTGGACAAATGCTTGCCTAATTTTACTTAACAAGAGAGGGCTGCGTGATGAACGAGCCCCTTGGAAGTGCTTGCGGCTCGCTCAAACTGAACCCACCTTCGCGGGGTGGGTGATGCTGGATCTGGTGGCAGCGCCAAATCGCTCTCCTTTCGGGGTTGGTTTCCGCCTGGGGAACTGACAGGCGACAATGGCCAGAGGGCAGGTGGGCTCCCCGAGGGCAGGGTAGCCACGCGCGCCCCGCATCTAACGACTCGGATAAGTGAACAAAAAGCGAATGCATGCAGGGGGCCAAGCTTTTGTAAACGGACAAAAATGAGCTTTCCAAGAAGCAACAGCTATCGCACGTCTTAAAAGTGACCAGTTGGTCGCCGAAGGGGCCCTGCTACTGGAGCCCCTACGGAGCGACCCGGGAAAGAGAGCCAGCGCACGAAGACAGCCAACGAGCGAAGGCGTCGGACTCCGCAGGCGCCTCCGCCTCCCAGCCCCCCGGGAGCCCCTCCTCCCGGCCGCTCGCCCCGCCCGGATATCCGGCCTTGCCCCGCCCCCGGCTAGTCTCCTCGCCCGGATATCCGGCGTGGCCCCGCCTCCCGGCCACCGGGGTAATGGCGCTGTGCGAGGCGGTCGTGTGCGGAAGCTCTCTGCTCTGGCCTCGGGTGTTGTTCTTCGGCGACTCCACCACCCAGGTACCGCCGTTCGGCGCCGTCCATTCCGCGGAACCCGGCTCGGCCCCCACGTGGCCCGGTCTCTTGGGCGTCCTCGCCGCGCCCTCGGGGGGGGCGGCACCCTGGCCGAGAGCCGCGGGCCAGGCTTCTTCGGTGATTCCTGGCTCTCCCCTCCGCGCGGGAGGGGCCCATTCCTCCCGACTGTTATGAAGTTGTCGGGGCCGCCTCCCTGCACCCCGCTTCCCCCAGCAGATGCTGCCCCAAGGCCTGGACGCTCACAGAGCGTCGTGTCCCCGCCGCCTCCAGGGCCCCTTCGTGACACCCTGGCATTGGTTCATTTCTCGGTGTTGGTAACTTCAGGGAGGATGACATCTTCAGGAGGGCAGCGCGGCTTTGCAGTCCTGGACATACGTTCCGTTTAGTCTTAGGGGGTCTGTTTGACGGATGAGACGAAGTGCAGGGAAGTCAGGGACTTGTCCACGCCACGCGCTGGGAGTGCCAGGGCCTGGGCTGGCCGCTCTTTCCTTTCTGTGTCATTTTTCATAGGGATTTTGGGAAGACCTGGCACGTTGTGTTCATCGTAGTGTCTTCCTGGTCAGTGGCTGTTGTCCTTTTCCCTGAAAGGTACTTTGAATTTGGTCACAGCGGGAACAGTGCTTTGTGTGCCACGCGGAGCTTCCTGGGGCGTCACCTTGCACAGATCACGGCGGCGCCTGAAGCACTTCCTGCAGTTTCGTACCTCCTATTCCATGCGGAAAACACTCAACCCCCGTGCTTCCTCTGATGGGACATCTCGCCGCTCTCTTGAATGAGATGCCGCCAAGTGATACCGACCAGGGTTCTTGGCCTTCCCAATCAGTAGAAATGGATAAGAGGCCAGTCCAGAAATTCAGGCAGGGCTTGACTGGGGCTCCTGCAGCTGCAGGAGGGGAGCGAAAACAATAACAGGTTCCCTTGCTCGCTCCCGCCCCCAAAAAGAGGCCCGAGCGGTGGGAGGTGAGCTCGTTCCTTACATGGGGTGAGGGTAGGGGTGTGTCCAGGGGTCGGGCGGAGGGGCGGCTGAGGTGTTTCGCCCACCCCCTGGCGGTGTTGAGAGCAGGGGGCACGCGCAGGACCCTGCTTTGGCTCTCTGCTCTTCGGAAGTGGCATTTGGGTTTTTGGCCTTTTTTGTGTCTTGTCCATAATTTGCCCCAGCTGCGCAGGAACGCGGTTATTTTTAGTCCCTTAGCGTTTCTTTGTATTCTGTTGCTGAAGGAGGAGACGTAGGTCCAGGGGCAAGCTTTGCAGCCGAGGACCCCAGGTCCCAGATCACCTTTTCAGCCAAGATGATTTCAACTCTCATTCAAGGAAAAATAGATGTTCTTACTTCAGGGAGGGGGAGCATGTTTTAAAAATTACCTTCCCATGGTGTTTTTCATTTTGTTTTGTTTTATTCTTCTCACATTCAGACATGACTTCCTAAACCAGTTTTCTGTGTGTATGCTAACAATTGGTAACGTTATTTTTAGGCATCTAGGGCAGTAAGTACTCTCCAAGTTCCATGGGAATGTATATCAAAAAATATTCACCGAGTTCTGTAATTAATTTCTTTATTCTTTCAACTATGAAGAGGCAGTGTAGTGTGGGTTTCACTTCCTAACTGAACATACAGTTGATTTCATCTCTGGTACCTAGATTTAAGTAATTTTTCTAGATAACAGTGAGTCTAATATAGGTCTCAATAAAATGCAGGTGATTGGCTCAAATCCAATTGACAGGGAAGAAAACTACCTCTTGCTTCCAGAGTGCTGCTGAGGTGTAGCTCTAGTAATCCCTAAAACGACCGCGGAGCAAAGCAAATGGTGAAGGCGGAGAAGTCAGGGAGTACAAAGAGAAAACAAGAGGGGAGTTGCTGAGCAATATGGCCTAATTACATTGATGAAGCATAATGGGCTTTTCTTTCTGCAGTTTTCTTTCCAGCAGGCTGGGTGGGGAGCGCCACTGGCGGACAAGCTGGTCAGGTGAGGATAGTTTCTAGATCCCTACTTGAGTGCTGATTGATGGAGCAGAGGGTGAATGATGCGGTTTGAAACGGTAAGTTCCTCCTTTTTGTGTCTTTGCAGGCCTTTCCTAGTTAGTGTGTATGAGGGGTTGGGGGAGAGAAGGGCAGCGCTCAGGTTCAGTTAAACTTTGCCACCTCATGAAACCAAACCTAAAAGTTGTAAAATATATTCGGGGCTTGGATCCGAAAATACAGCTATTCACTATCTAAACAAGACAAGTTCTTTTTCAGTTATGGTGGGTACGATTTAAATAATTAGCAAGGAGTTCAATTGAAAGAATACAAAATGTATTCTAAAACCAAAGTTGGATTTATTTTTGGATAGAGATTTCCCCCCCAGATTCTCTTTATAAAAGATATCAGATATATAAAATAAATAATAAAATATATCAGATATATAAAAAATATTTTAAAATATATCAGATTAATAAAAATAGTGATGATTTTGGTATTCCATTTGCCAAACGGAAATCATTAAAAGGGAAACAATGTTCCAGTTCAGGTGCCAGAGACTTTAAAATACTTCATGTTTATTGTCTCATTTAATCTCTACAACTGCCCAGTGATTTATCATCCTCCTATCCGTCTTACAGCTGAGAAGAATAAGGTGGAGAGAGGTAGATACCAAAGCCACACAACTAAGAAGTGTCAGGTGGCCTGGCCCCAGAGCCCAGGATCCTCCAGCTCTGGGGATGACAAGGGCCCTGCTCTCCTGCCAGAGGGTGAGTCAGCTGCTGTGCGCCGCTTAGTCAAGCGCCTGGCCCGTGAGAAGTGCTCCATAAGTACTGGCTCCTTATTTTTTAAAAATTCAGTACCTGTTTAATTAGTCCATTAACCTTTTCTCATCAAATAGAAGATATGGAAAAGCTAAATAATTATTCAAATGGTCTGAAAAACTGCAGGCATTGCAAATGTTTCTCCAGTACATAATAATGTTAGTACTAAAATCTTGTCAGAATTGTTTACAGGTGTGATTGCTAGAAGACCATTTAATTAGCAAGTAGTTATTTTTCAGAATTGAGAGTAATTATAGGAAAAGATGAAGCTGCAGACAGTGTGTGGTCTGTTAGGCTTTATCTATGTCACTCTTAAAAGCATCTTGTGACAGCAGGCACAAAACCGAGCGGCCACCGGGAGGCCTCAGCTGGGTGAGTCCCGCCTCCCCTCTCCTGGGCTCACTGCCCTCGGCCAAGCCCGAGAGAGCCCGTTGTGAACCAAAGTGGCACCGCGGCCCGGAGCTAGAACCCAGGCAGAGCGGGCTCCTCCTGTGGGCGGGTGGGCCACGTTGACGCTGGGGGTGAATCTTTTGCAGAGACTGTCTGCTTCAGCCACGTGCAAGGCCCAGAACTGACTTGATTCAGTGTTTTAATTTCACCTAACTTCCAAGTTTGAAGGTTATTAAGAGTCACCTTACTGTGACTGCCCTTCTGTACTGCCTACATGGATAGCAATAAATTTAAAATATGTAATTGTGTCCCACAGTGACATCCTTAAGTTTTAGCTTTAAATAAGATCTTTGTATACTCAGTACAAAAAGCATTTTAACCATTCTTAAATCCACTTAAATGCTTTTAATTTATTGATATATTTTCATCAGTCTTTTTTTAGCCTTATCCAAGTATTTAACCAAAAATACTTGGTTTGAAAAGTTAGAAAAAACTCACCTTTTTCAGTTTTTAAAAGCTTCTGTTTGCTTTTAAAGATATGTTCTTGCCTGTTGTCATTTATAAAAACCTAATTTACATTTTTTCTGGAAGGCAATCAATCTTACAGAGCCTGGATGTTTTGGGAGGAATCTTTTAGTTAATTCCTATCCTTTTCCCAACTTCATCTGAACTTAAATACCTGTTATTAGCCAGGAATTCATATAAAAACCTTTCTTAATTTTCCAGTTTCTTCCAGCCTTTTGAATAACTTGGGCACTATTGATTATGTTATTCAATCCAGAGAAATTCAGATATTCTTCCCCTTTCAGAAGGGAACTTTAACAGTTTCAACCATGGGCCTCACTAGCAGTTTTTTTGGTTCACAGCCTTATAATAATGATATATATATTTTAAAATCTATAATGGCTGGCATTTATTGAGCTCCTTGTACGTATCTGGCCACTACATTACTTTTAATCTTCACATATCCTAGCAGATTGGGTATTAGTGTTCATCTCTCACAGCTGGGAAGACTGAGGCCCAGAGAAATTAAGTAAGTTGTCAAGGCCTCCTTGCCAGTCGAGGGCAGCGAGATCCAGGCACTGGCTGCTCTGCGTCACTGCCACAGCATACAGGCCTCAGGGAGGGAGCTGTTCTGCCGCTTGCTTTTTTTTTTTTTTTTTTTTTTTTGGTGGAGCGCAGGCTCAGTGGCCATGGCTCACGGGCCTAGGCGCTCCGCCTGCCTCTTGCTTTTTAAAGTGCTGCTGTGCGTGACTGAACTACTGGATGGATGTAAGACAGACTTGTCAAAATTCTAGAGTGTTCCATTTTAAAGTATTCTAAGTGGAGGCTTTAAAATGGCTAGTCAGCATTTTGTAATCGTTACACACTAAAAACACAAGAACCACACTTAGAAATAAACGTGGCTGAAATTTTGTTGCCCCCAAGGCTTATAAATGCTGAGAAGCATCAAACCAGAGTCCCTCCTGCAGTTCTCTGGCCTCTGGTGCTTGGCCTTTGGCCTGCAGTTATTTCTTGGTGCCCTAGTTTCTCTGCTTAGTTGCTTATATGTAGGAATTTGAACCATACACCAAAATTAACCACATCGGTTTGCTAACCATCAATTGAAGTTGGAGATTCATTGGGAAAAAAATTTTTTTTAGTGGACAACTTGAAACATCTACAAACCTACCCGAAGTCACAGCTACTCAGTGTTCGAGCTGGGATTCTAACACAGGCAGCCAGCTCAGTTTCCATGGTTGGTTTTTTCAGTATACCATACAGTACTGTGAATCAAATCATACATTTTTAAGAAGGAATAAAATGCCCGTTAAACTGGTTTAAACTGAAACACAACTAATACATTTTACTAAAACTACTGAATCAAAACCACCGGGTAATAATGAGAACCGTGTGTCAGTGTAGTTTGGCACCTGTAACAAATGCACCCACTGGGGGGTGGTGTAGGTCGTCGGGGAGTGGGGCTGGGGGTTAGGGGAAGTCTGTACCTTCTGCTCAGTCTTTCCGTAAACCTAAACCTCCCCTTAGAAAACGGTCTGTAAAATAAGTCTCAGGAATTCCGTGTACGCTTATCCCATTAGAGTTCCAGCTTATTAGTGCCTTTCTACCTTTAATACCTGCCTGCTGTAAACTCCATTTCAAAAGTACCCCATCGACCATGCATGAAATCAGCTAGTCTGCTTAGCCCCTCTGTTCATTATTATTCATAACCTCTCTCATCAAGGAATGGGATGGACTTGCTACATCTTGGAACCATGAAGGGGACGAACATGCCTCAACTCTGCTGCTGCTCTGATCTTACCAAAGTGACACCTGGGCAGCAGCAGGGCCATGGCACAGAGCGGGCACTGTGATCCCAAGCACACCCTCCCACACGGAAGGTTGGCTACAGGCAACCAGAAATAGTTCTTTGCTCACAATTATTCTTTTTTATTATTTTTTAATTTATTTTTTAATTTATTTTTTTGGCTGCATTGGGTCTTCATTGCGCGCAGGCTTTCTCTAGTTGCGGCGAGCAGGGGCTGCTCTTCATTGTGGTGCGCGGGCTTCTCATTGCGGTGGCTTCTCGTTGCGGAACACGGGCTCTAGGTGTGTGGGCTTCAGTAGTTGTGGCACGTGGGCTCAGTAGTTGTGGCTCTCGGGCCCTAGGGCACAGGCTTAGTAGTTGTGGCGCACGGGCTTAGTTGTTCCGCGGCATGTGGGATCTTCCCGGGCCAGGGCTCGAACTCGTGTCTCCTGCATCAGCAGGCGGATTCTTAACCACTGCGCCACCAGGGAAGTCCCTACAATTCATCTTTAAAAATTTTTCATTTCAGAAAATGCGATGTTCTGAATCGTGGATTTTCGGGTTACAATACCAGATGGGTGAAAATTATCCTCCCGAGGCTAATCCGGAAGGGGAACAGTTTGGACAGCCCAGTAGCAGTTACAATTTTCTTTGGTGCCAATGACAGTGCGCTAAAAGGTAAAGGCATTCTTGTTTTCCTAGTTCATTTTTGGTTTTTTTCGTTAGGGCAAACTTAAATTTATATACTTTTTTCATCTGTTTACCTGTCTCCCAGTAGGTAAAGTTTTGCCAAATTTATAATGAGTTCCCTGAGTTTACTTCCTTGTATTTCTTCTGGCTTTCTTTAATGTCAGTGAATTTTATTCCCGACTTATTTTCTACATGCCTGGGTCGTTGGCAGACCTAAAATTTCAAGCACTTGACTGTTTTTTAGAGTCCAGTAGTGCTGTGCTCAATTTCTAATATTTCTTTCTCTTTAGTTGATGTAGTTGGCAGCAGAGAGGTCAAACTGCTGGACACCTTGCTGTGTGACTCACACTGATGGAAAAAGGGTAGCTCAGGGCAGCAGCGCCCTGACCCAGCACAGGCTTGACTCCTGGGCGATGGGAAGCAGGTCTGAACAGGAGACATGTCTCCGTATTTCTGGAAGAACTGCTGCTGTGACTAGAGGCACAGGCCTTTCTTCCTTTCCTACTCGTGAAAGGAGAGCCCTCTGCTCAGCATAAAGGAGAAGAGTAGTCAACTTCCAGAGGCTTCTCCCATGCCCCACCCCCGGCAGCGAAGGTCTGCTATTAACAGGCACACGGTCGGGCCTCTCCGGTGAGGCTGGAGAGAAGGGAAGGAAGGGACAGCTGCCGACTGTGATGCAAGGAAGTCTTGCCGCCTGTGAGATCATAGACTACAGGTGTTAGTGGAGACTGTAAGCTCGTTCCAAAAAAACCCAGAAGTTTTCAAACAGGTGAATTTCTATCAAATTTAGGACAGGGAGAAATACTTTCTAAGTATAAAAACTTAGAGGAAATTGCAGTGGAGGAAACTGCAAAGGAAAACATAGATTTGTGAAATAAATTAGCTGTGTCAAAAAACTATTAAAAGAAAATGACACATTAAGGAAAATGTTTGCAAAGGCATGAGAGACAAAAGGTTAATGTCTTTAATGTAGAAATCAATTAAGAAAAATGTTAACTCCAGTTTAAGAAATAGGCAAAGGCAGGAACAGGTAATCGAAACAGGAGAAATTTAGTAGCCAGTACATGTTTGAAAATGTGTAAAACTTCTGTTAGCCACAAAATGAAAACTGAAACAAGGAGTTTTGGTTTTTTGACTCTCAAATCCATGATTTTAAGCAGTAATACTTACAGCTGACAAGTGTGGAAAACAGGCATTCTTACAGTACTGGTGGGAAAACTTGAAACCTTTCTGGAAAGCTTCCCTAGAGACTTCCCTCATCTAGAAACCCAGCCTAAGGAAACACCTAGTATGTAATGCAGCCAGGTATATGTGTAAAGACTTCTATGCACAGTTATTTATAATAGCAAAAAATTAGAATGCTGCACAGTAAGGAAATAGAAGCATCCATTGTGGTCACCCGACAACTAAACACCATGTTTTTGAGGACTTTTTGTAGGCACAGAGATGCTCATAATGTTATGTGGAAAAAAGCACAATATGGTCGTTTATCTTCAGTGTGATCCCTCTTTTTTTTAAGTCTCCATATCTGCATGGAAAAGACTGGGAAGTATGACCCAGTGCCAGCAGTGGTTTTCTGGGTGGCAGGATCATGAGTGCTGTTACTTTTCTCCTAGATTACACTCATGTGTGGTTTGCAAATGGCCTGCCGGGAGCCGTGTGTGAGCCTGTCTAGAAGGAATCCTTTGCAGTGACGTTAGCTGTTGCTTAGTTTATTTATTGAGGGCTTCCTTCCCGGCAGGCACCTTGCTCTAAGTGCCTTACACACTTTGCTGATGTAATTTTCACAGCTACTCTATGAGGTAGACCCTACTGTCATCCTCATTTTACCAGCGAGGAAACGGAGGTACAGAAAGGCTGATCATTTGTCCAAGGGCACGTGGCTAGCCAGTGACAAAGCCGGGCTAGAACCTGGGCAGGCTCACTGCCCAGCGCTGGTCTTACTTCTTAACAAATTCAGCCTAATTGACTAATAGCCACATGACCAGTAAAGGAGGAAAGGCGAGAGCGCTGACAAGGCCCTGAGCCAGAGCCTTTAGAGTCTGTTTTATGTAGGACTCTGTACTTGAACTCTTGCCCCTTCTCTTTCTGCGCTTGGCGCTAAACAGTTCCCCAGCGATGCCACGAGTTATGCCCATTTGTGAATGTGCATTAACCTCAATTGTCATCACTTACAGCAAATGTGCATTTGGGCTGAAGTGTCCGCGTTCCTCCCAAACAGGTGAGAACCCCAAGCAGCGCATCCCCCTGGAGGAGTACGCGGCGAACCTGACGAGCACGGTGCAGCACCTGCAGTCCGTGGGCGTGCCCGAGAGCAGGCTCATCCGCACCACGCCGCTGCCGCCGCTCTGTGAGGCCGCACAGCGACAGGAGCGGGTGAGCTCCTGAGCTCAGGTGAGCGTGGGCCCGGATGCCGGGCCCAGGGAGGAGCAGGTGGGACCTGGTCTCCAGCCTGGGGCCTCAGCTTCTTGGGGGCCTGTGAATTCCCGTCTGTCTGCTTTAGTCGACAGAAGTTAAAGCAGAGCTCCCAGCATGTCGTAGCGTGACACAGAAAAGGATTCTGGCCGTGCGTGAGTCAGGCCCCGGGCCTGGTATCTGCCCGGCTCCGGGGTGCACAGGAGGCCACCGCCGTGGCGCTGAGGGTCGGGCTGGCTGCGCTTTGACACTGACATCCGCACTCGGGGTGTTTTCCTGACTTCTGAACGGCAGGGGGAGGTCGCTTTGCCCATTTCCACCTGCACGTGGCCCCTTCTCCACTGCCACCAGTTGCCGCCGCCAACTGGTGGTTGAGTGATCGGAGGCTGCTCTGGGGCTCGCCAGCGCCAGGGTTCTGGCTCCCGTTCTGTCCCCACCAACTATGCGTCTTGGCACTTTTATGTGCAATACCAGGACCTGACCAGGTGCGCAGGATACAGAGATGACTAGAACCCAGCTCCTGCTGTTGGGCTAGCAGGGGAGCTAGGCCAGCTGTCATCACATATTTGAAGGGCGCCGTCACATAAAGAGGACAGAAGGCCCTGCTTGTTAGCTCCACAGGGCAAAGGGAAGACCCCCATGGGCACCATCAAGGGCGATTTTAGGTCAAAATGATGGCTTGTGAGGTGGAGAGTCGCTACAGGAAGCATTCAGGCTGAGCCTGGACGGGCAGAGGAGTGCGGCCAGAGCTCAGTGCTTCTCACGTTGCAGGTCGCAACCCATGCGCGGATCGCGAAACCAAGTGAGTTGTGACATTTTTTTAATGGACTATAATAGAATAGAAAAATCTGTATCTAGAATGCGGTGGGCACGTCTCATGAGACTGTTGCACTCTTGTAGACGTGTGTGTAATGAGTCCTGCTGTATCACTCTAGTTTTAGCCACGTTTATGACTTTGGACCACGTGTGGTTCTCCCGTGGTCCCAGATTAGCAGATCAGTGTCATCTGGGAACTTGGCAGAAGTGCAGATTCTTGGACTCATCCCAGACCTGTGGAAGCAGAAGTCTAGGGGAGCGCCCAGTGCATCTCCCGGTGATCCTGTTGTACCTGAGTGTGAGAGTCCCCACACTGCGGGGGCGGTGGGCAAACCACGCCCCGTCGCCTACAACAAATACAGTTTCACTGGCCAGGCCCATGGTTTCCATGTTGTCTGTGGCTACTTTGGAGCTGTGACGGCAGGGCTGAATAGTTGCCCGTAAAGCCTGACTCCTGTCCAGCCCATGGCAGAGAAAGGTTGCTGACCCCCAGGCTGGCCTGGGTGACCTCTGTGCTCCCTTCCAGCTCTCGCCTTCTCTGGTCCAAAGTCTACAAGTGACTTTTCCACTACGTGGCTGTGGCTTCTCATTACACATAATAATTCGGGGCCTGAGCCCAGCGGTCCTCCCCACCGTACCCCGTAGCAGTCACTTGCCCAACTCCGTTCGCCTCTGGCCTGCACTCTAGCCAAGCCGCTCAGCTCCCCTGGCCTTTTCTGCCTCTGTGTCTATTCGGTGTCCTCTAAATGCCCTCCATGGCCCCTCATCCCCATCGTCCTTGGTCCTGTGCTGGGGAGGGCAGCACACTAGTGACCCGTGAGGCCCGTCCTGTGTCCCCCAAGCCCCGTGGCTGGCCCACTTTGGGTCTGTAGGCACACGCCTGTTCACTTGAACTGAGAAACCCTCCAGGTAGTAGAACTTGCACAAAGACCAGCACTTGGGTTTATCAGTTGCATAAAATCCAGCAGTTGGATTTTCTCTTCTCCATAGGGTGCAAATTAAATCGCCTCAACTTAGTCGTTGGTGAATATGCCAGGGCCTGTTTACAAGTAGCCCAGGACTGTGGGATTGATGCACTTGACCTGTGGACCCTGATGCAGAAGGACAGTCAGGTATAGTGGCATGCTCGGTCCTGTCGGGTGAGTAGGGTCACGCAGAAGTGACCACGCTATGCACTGTCCGCCTGGAGCAGCTCTGAGTGGGTGAGACAGTTGTCCTTTTCACCAAATGGAATGAAAACGTTGGCTGGAGTGGAGGAGCTGCAGGGCCGCCTGCACACCCAGCACCGTGCTTGGCCTGGTGCTGTACCGCCACCCAGCAGCTGGCACCATGCTCTGGGAACCCCTTTAATAGAAGTTGGCATGTAGTGAAATGAATGAGCAATAAATGGTTCATATTTAAGAACATCTAGGCCAAGTTTTATAATATGAAGAGGGGGAAAGTTAAAAGAGGCAAAACAATGCATTTAAGTAGAATATGGTATTAACTAAAATTCATATTTGAGGTACGGAGTTCTAATTGGTTTATAGCCAGAAAGCCCACTTACAAATATAAGAAAGCCCACTTACAAATATAAAAGGTAAAAAAGCCAGTCCCCGTGCAGAATGACACAGCCACCCCGGAAGACAGCACAACAGCCTCCTGTACAGTTAAATAAACGTGCGCTTACGTGGGACCCAGCAGTCCCACCGCAGACGAGGCGGCCGTGTTTGTGTTCCTCTGCACCCTGACTGGACTTGACCCACCTTGTGCCGTTCCCAGGTCGGGAGCAGGCTTGGCCATGTGACCGCTGAGACAGCACCCAGAGCTGTGTTTTTGTCTGCGTTACGCTTCCACCTGAGATGGTTTGGAAAAGTAACGCTGCTAGAGAAAAGGAAACTGCAGACTGCTGGGCTAGTGGCTCTTTGAAGTCCTTTTAGACTTACTTAACGTATTAAGAGTCCAGAGCTGGGAAGGTCTTCCTCAGCGATCATCTGACCTAACAAACACAGCAGAGATGAGAAAACTAAGGCCCGGGAGGAGTGCGGCTAATCGGAATCCCTGGTCTGCAAGTCATGAACCAGTTCCAAGTTCTAATGGGGATGGGGGATGGGCGGAGCTCCCGCGTAGGGAAAGGATTCTTCCCCAAAGGAGAAGGGGCTCCAGGGGTGGGGCGTCTGGACTCTGGACAGTACAAAGTCTTTTCATCTAATACTGTGCCTGTCAATTTAATTCCTAGAGTGAGAGAGAAGAGTCGAAAACAACTTGACACACTGGGCCCTGGGCTCTTGTAACAAATTTTTCACTTTGTTGGCTACATCAGTGTGCTGTTACTCACTCATTGATCCTCTTCTTCCGTCTGCTGACTTGGAAGGACACTTGGGCTCAGGCGCTCATTAATGGTGTGAGGTTCTGTGACGCTCCATGTGTCATATGCAGACACTGTCCCTCCACAAAGGGCGTGGGAGCATTTGATGAGCTAACGCAGCACCAGAGGCTGCTGTTCAGGCCGGGGGCTCGCCGCCTGGGGCCACAGCTGGGAGACCAGCCACCCCTTTAACTGCGTTCTCTTCCCCTTACAGGACTTTTCTTCTTCCTGTTTGCCAGACGGACTACATTTATCACCAAAAGGAAATGAGTTTTTGTTCTCTCATCTCTGGCCTTCGATAGAGAAGAAAGTCTCTTCCCTGCTTTTGCTGCTCCCTTACTGGCGAGACATGGCAGAAGCAAAACCAGAACTAAGTCTTCTGGGAGATGGGGCCCACTAGTCACAGAAAACCAAGTCCAGCTGCTAATCTACAGAACAGGAAGTCGCCAGTGCACAAAGACCCCAAGATAAGTGGTCAGAGAAGTTTAAGCCTTTGCTCGTGACCCTGCAATAAAAATCACCAACAAACATCTGCCACCAGGATTAACAAAGCATCGGACGTTTTCAGGACGGCTTTGTACCTAGGCACGTCGTGGTTTGATAATAAATATTTATTGATGGATGCAGGTGTCGTCAGTGCCACAGCTACAAAATACACCCTGAGCAGCTTATTAATTTTATAAATGGAAAAAAGGTAAAGACAGTGTTGGTTTTTTAAAAAGTCACAATTTTATAAAAAACGGTTTCTTACATTCAGCTGGGAACCATTTCACTCTCATACATACACCCACACACCCCACTCACCTTATATCAGATTGCAAAAGTGTTAACTATAATATAAGAATATTATGACTAGTTAAAAGACAGCAAATACCACAAGGTACAAGTTCAAGTATTAGTGTAACAGGTATCTGCGTAACAAACAAACATCCTTAGAAAAAAAGATACGATTTGTCACAGGTTTGGTTGATTGCTCTCAAAGCTTACAAGTTATCTCAGTTAAAATGTGTTCGCTGGTGAGCACATTTCAGTACTTAGCAGGGGAAAAAAGCTTTTAAAAGGAAATCAGAATTCAACCTGATGGTTTCTATCCTTCACACAGTAGATGCAGACCATACTGAAGCACTAGATCAAGAAGTAACATGGGTCAGTACCAAGGGTTTCTAGCAATCAGTTGTGTGGGGAGAAAGCCCCAGGCCAGCACATCACACCCGGTTCTTTTGGCAGAAACCATCTCCTGTGCATTCTTGGCCACTAGTGTTTGTTTGAGAAGAGGCGACCATAACTTTCTTATTCTGAAGTAGTTCAGGCTTTCTGAATGGCGAATGTTTTAAGAGGATGGTGACAGTATTGATACATGAAGATACTTCAGAAACACACAAAAACTGCCCAGCTATCTGGGGTCCTAAAACAGTTGGCAGAATTCTGTAGATTCATGGAGCTACAATTTAAGCTAGATTGTTTTAATTCTAGACGTTAGAGATTCTTAACAATTTAGAATTAAGAAACCTTATCCCTAAATTTAGCAGTGTAATTCCCTTCTTCTGCTACAAGTTCTAGGTAATACCTAGAAACAGAACCCACATTTTGGAGACTGTATACATTGGTTTTTTCTCCCTTTGTCTTCAAGGCAAAAGAATAAATAAATCTATTCTGTGTTCCAGTTATCCTCACAAGAAACTGCTAAATGCCTCATTATGTTTGCTGGATCATTACAGTGTTTAAAAAAAAAACTGAGCATCTCCCTGATCAGTGCCGTTCCCAGTATAAAAAGTTAATTTACAAAAATGTAAATACTCATAACCTAATCCAGCTGTATTTTCTGCTTTTGCGTCAGAGGTTGAAGGATATCTTAAAGATCAAAAAAACTAAAACCTGAAAGCCTCAAAATAAGCGAGATTCACCTTACCTCTTCAGAAGGAAAAGGGCCTGACCACACAAGTATTACGTATGCGAAGGAAGTCCAAACACATGACCAGCATCTGCTGTGAAGTCACTTCCTTTTTTTCTCCCAAATCTTCACAAAAACTGCAGTGATTTGAGGTCAAATCTATAAAAATATTCTGCACACGGAAGTCAGAGCGCTCGGGACGCGGTCCTGAACTAGCACTCGGTTTCCTTGCTGTCAATGCGGTTCTGACGCTGCAGCTTAAAGGACGAGGCCTTTTCGCTTCTGGTGACCGGATGGTCCGTGAGGTCCTCGAACGACTTGGCGGCCGTGCTGCTATTTGGGAAGGGGTCCTTCTCGAAGCCGTCCTCGTCGGCATGCGAATCCGTGCTGGGGTCCTCCTGGATGGTGTCCATCCGCTGGTGGTCCAGCTTTGGGGCCACGGGCACCAAAGGCGCGGGGGGCACCGCAGGGGCAGGCTGTGGGGGCTGCAGGCGGCCCGGGGTCGGGGGTGCGGGAAAGGGCTTGATGACGCGAACCGAGGCGGAATCCATGCTGCTCAGCATCTCGACGTTCTGGAAAGACACGGAGTAGGTGCACCCCAGGGCCCACAGTCCCAGCCTCACCCGGCAGATGGCCGCCCCCGCCGGTGCCCTGATCCCCACGCTGGGGAAGGCACCCCAAGAAGCGACTCGAGCGGTTAGCGTTCAAGTCCTGACACGCCGCCGTTTGAAGACCCAAAGGAGACTCACGAGAAACAACGCTGTCAGGATCCCAAGACAGGAAAAGCTCTCTCAGTGTTAAACTAAGCCCGTGCTGAACAGCTGACCACTCAGGGCTGACCCTCCAAGCGACTAGCGAACGTTCACTGTCACTGCATCCAACCTAGATCCCTCCTGGTACCCCAGGACCTTCCTGCCAGAGAAGGTGCCACTGGAAAGGCTGGTGGCTCTTGCTGGGGAGGCCAGTGAAGGTCTCTGCTTAGCAGGCCTCAAAATACAACCAAGAACGACTCGTGAGAGATACTTACACTGGGGTGGAACAGAGACAGCGATTCAAACTGCTTGTCCAGTTTCTTATCCTAGAAAGAAGAGCAGAGCAGCGTCACTCCTGCGAACAGCTCCGTTCAGCGCCCCTTCCTCATGAGCCCCTCCTACTGTCCAGGGAAGAACGAACTCAGAGCTGGAGGTGTACAAAGTGGAAGCAGGTCGCGCAGAGGAGGAACTTCGCAGCCACGCTTTAAGGGTTCTGCCCAAGTGTTTGCACGTCAAAGAAATGTGTTTTTTGGCGTTAAGTAAGGAAACAGGCAAGGTTTAAGCGCTGGTGTCTGAGGCCCAGCCCCGGGCAGGAACAACGAGGGCGGCTCCGTGCGGCCAGCGCTGGCCTCCCAGCGGCCCAGCCCACCAGAGCCTCGTCACTCCTCCCGGCCGTGTCCAGGGTCGCTGTGGCCCCAGCTCTTGGCAGCGCCAGGCCTCGAGTCCTGACACACACCCTGCAGAAGGCTGGACACGTGGTCCGCCCTCCCTGCCCAGGGCCTGGCTTCCAGCCCAGCCGCCCTGAACGGCCGCTGAGATCAGAGACAAGCCACTGCCCGCCCTCCCGTCGGCAGCCCTGCGCAGAAATCGAGCGTCAGGCCTCTCAGTCCACAGTCGTAACTCTCGCCGTAAACCACGCAGGTCTGACTCTCAGGTAAAAGCGACCGTAATGGATGGCACCGTCGCCCATCTGTCAAAGCCTCCACCGCGCCCCCTTTAACACCGCTCTGCTTTCGCAGGGCTTTTCCTGGCGTCCGGCAGGCTCGCCGCTCAAGAGAAGAGCCGTTCAGTGAGAGCGCGCAGCCAAGGGAAGGCACGGGGCCGTGAAGACCCGAGAGCTCGCCGGGCCGGAGCATCCCACATGCTCGCGGGAGGGCCCCGCGCAGGGGTTTCAGGGCACAGGCCTGGAAGCCTGGCTCTGACGTCCTCATCTCTACACAGCAGACAAATCCTCCTTTTCCCACAGAAGCAAGGAGAACGGATCTATAAGAAAATTTCTGGAGAAAGAAATTTTCGGGAAAACAGGACCACGCCGCCCAGAGAAGCCTCTCGAGCCCCTGAAGCCCTCCCCGTGACAGCACAGGCATAAAATCGTGTTTCTGTGGACAGCAGAAGGGTCTGACTTAGGCGAGTCAAGCTGCCCGTAGGTCTTTCCTACCCACTCAGCACCCGTTTCAAAATCAAACTTCATAAAGTGCCTGGAGTTTCTCAAAGCCCTATTCAACTGTTACTCATTTTGAACAATAAAGAAGACGGCTCCCTCTCCTCATGTGGAAGCATCTGAGCGAGCACCCCAGACGACGATGCCAAGACTGCAGACCTGATGGGGCAGCATGTCTGGAATGCTGCTGTTTGGCATCTGCTCTGCCACAGCAAAGTCAGCCTGGGTGCGCTCGTTTAGAAGCTTCACTCCTCAGAGGTCCTGGACAAGCCCAGTTAACCAGTCTCCTGTGCTTAAAAGTATAAAACTCAGAAATTATACATGAGAGCGAAACATCCGTGCACAAAAAATGTAATTTTTTTAGAGACCATTAATCTTTTTACAAAAAATGCTTTTCCAGGGATAGCACCAAAAATGTCATTGGAAACAGCAGGTCAGATTTTTCTAAGAACAAATTTTTATCTTTTCCGAAGGTAACATGGTTCGAGTTGCTCAAAATTTTAATAAAATGTTTCATTACTTAAAAACTGGTGACTTACCACACAATGGACCAGAATGCTGAAAGGAATCCAAAATATCAAGGAGAAAACCAGGACGGAGCCTACGATGTTGTCTGCTAAAAACTTCCCTGTGAACAATTCCAAACAGTGAATGTCTTGACCAAGTACTTTAGAAATTGAAAATGCAACGTTCTTAGAGTACTATCACGTGTCAAACGGCACAGACTGCTGGCGGGATATAACAACTGAGCTGGTACCAAGAAGCATTTCTGTGCCACCTGCTGTACACCCAGCTGTCCCCCCACACACGGGAGCTCTCCCCAGAATGGACCCATGTGCTTGTGGAGAACAGATCATATCACAGGAGGGCCCACACAGTCCCCAGAGGGACAGTGCAGGGGACTCATCCTGGAGGAGGCTCCTACTAGGAACAGTGCTTGCGAAGACAACGCTGATGCTGTCTGGGTACTATTGTTTTTGTGACTAAACCCTAAATTATGAGCCCTAGAGGACACAGTGCATCCTTGCTTCTGCAAAGTCTGAGGCCCACTTTTAAGTAAATGACTCATATCAAGCAGGATTCAGCTTTGCAATCTACAGGACTGAAGGACACTTAACTGTCACATGTTCATTTTTTAGTAAAGAAGCCAGTATTTTTACTTCCCTTGTTTTAAAATTTGTGCATCCATGCTACACAGGGGCTGACCTATAATGTGTCCACTTTTTTTTAGCCAACAAAGTCGCTTCAGAACAAAAGTGGTAACTATTTCCATCTTCTAATGCACGATTAGGGCCTATCAGTCTGAAACCACACTTTTCTAACGTCATCAGTGAAATCAGCTCAGTTCCAAGCAACCACCCACCTGGGGAAACCACGTACCGAAAGTATTGATGCTCAGCTTGTCAATGAACTCCCAGAACCGCTCAATGACATCCTGCACTCGCTTCTCACATTTGCCCTGTGAACAGAAAGCACCCGGCATTACCCCAGCGGCCATGCATTTAGAAGGAACGTGGCTTCCTTCAAGTCAAACACATAATTAACACGAAAAGGGCTCCACTGAAACCAAACGTCCAGAAGAGCCATCTCTGACACACTGGAATGGGTACCTAAGAAGGTAGCATTCTCTGTCACTGACACGCCACACTCAGTCCATTTTTATAAGTGAATTTAGAATTACCAGAAGACAAAACTCAAGAAAACCAGTTTGTTAAAGATGGGCCAATTCCAGTAAGGACTGCACTGATCTCACACACACACTGCCAGAGAGGCCTCTCAAGCCACTTAAGCCCTCTTCCGTGACAGTGCAGGAATAAAATCGTGTTTCTGTGGACAGCAGAAGGGTCTGACTTAGGTGAGTCAAGCTGCCCGTAGGTCTTTCCTGCCCACTCGGCACCCATTTCAAAATCAGAGCTTGCAATCCTGCAGAATTAGTGACCTTTATAATTAGCCCAGAAAACCAAGTAAGTAGGACTCCCTGCCTCAAACTCAGCTTTACCACAAAGTCCCCCAGGTCCTGCCCAGTCTCTTGAAAGCACCTGGTCCTCCGAGGTCACACACACAGTACGTAACTAGACTCTCACACAAGGACAACGGATAGACATGTGAGCATCTGTGCTCTGATTCCCTTCCATTTGCAAAACCCAGCACTCACAAAATAAAAACTTCACATCTGGCTGTTAGAGAAAAAGCTGCAGATAAATAAATACTCACATTCATGTCACAAAATCCTACTGTACAGGGCTTTCCCTTCCTCAAAAATAAGTTCTTCTGTTCGGCGTCGACATAGGGCAGGCAGCGGCCCGAGGGGTCCCTGCAGCACACCTTGCACGAGTTGTCGGTTTCTGAAACAGAGCACAGCCTCTTAGACACGCGCTCTCCTCCTGCCTCTCTCCCTCCTACCCCGCTCCCGCAGGGAAGGAATTGCACTCATTTTTTATTCCAACAGCGAATATGATCCTGGTTTCACACCCCTCCCCTCCACTCCCCTCCCCCTGCCAAGGAGTAACTCCTGAGTTCAGGCTCCTCAGCCCTCAGAGAGGTAAAGCAAAAGGTAAAAACAATTTACACAGAAAAGTTTCCTTTAAGAGATTAAAAGGCAGATTCTCTCTACTTCAAACCCTTCATAATGCTAAATGATTCCCTTCGTCCCAGCGTTATTACGCTGCGGGTTTCAATCCTTGGCTTCTCAGTTTCCAGCACACTCTGGAAAGCCAAGGCTCCAGCGAGAGCCAAGCCACTGTGACAGAACTGCCAGCCTCGGGTGCAGATCTGAGTGACCCGCCAGCGACAGGAGCACCGCAGCCTAAGCACGACCTCTCCCTCCATGGACACCACCCTCCAACAGCACATGGGGTATATGGCACACGTACAAACGGCAGGAATGCCCAAAAGGTCAACAGGCCGTATAACTCGGGACAATCTTTACTTGACCTCTTAGGAAAAACTGAAATCAACCAAACACAAAAACAAGCAAAACCACTTTAAAGGGAAAACAAAAACCTTCTCCGCATTCATTCACATATCAAGCATTTCCTGGGCACTTACTATGTGTGCTTCCAGGGCACCCCAAGCCTCTTGGCGCTCACTGAATAAACCATCTGACGTTTACTGTGTGTTATCTTTATTTACATGTTATTCCACCTGGAAGAGCCACTTGTTCCACTGTGTGGATGCTAAGTGCCCATCCCAGGGGTTCTGACTTCTGGGATTTTTGTTGTGAAAGCAGCAGAACTCTCTCTGATGGAGGGCGGGGAGCTCAGAGCCCAGCCAGTCCCTCAGGCCCTTCCTCAGACCCAAGGGTTCCAAAAACAGTGTGGAAATCTGAGGACAAGGGTCCCAGAGGCCATGGCTGAGAGGCCCCTGCCCCAGGCGTCTGGCAGGGAGCTGCGGCGGCTGGCCCAGCAGACGTCCCAACAGAGGGGGGACCCGGGCCTGGGCCGCGCCGGGTGGGTCCTGGGCCGCACCAGAGCTCGAGGCCAGTGGGAGGAGGAGTGAGGACGGACCTCCAGCCACCCGCCCTTCCGCAGTCCCCTCTGGCCTCGCCGCCGAGTGGCCTCACGGTCTGAAAACACAGCCACGAGGGAGATGGACAGGACGGCTTCCGGAGACGACCGTGGAAGGAGCGGGACCCGCAGGCAGCGGTCCGTCTGCGCACACCACCCGCTGCTCCTGCCCTCGCCCCGCTGCAAGGATAGGCAGGGCCACGTGCTCACCGTTACACGCGCAGGACTCCAGCCTCTGCTCCCGCTCGCAGAAGGGCACACACTTGCCATCTTTACACTTGCCGAGATCCAAGCACACCGTGTCGTCGGCAGCATCGCCAGGAGGGGGGCACTCACTGCTGTTACCTGCAGCACGCAAAGGGCACACGGGCCGCCCTGAGTCACGTGGCCCAGTTCCACGGGGCGGCCCGTGTCCCGGCAGCCGGGGAGCACCGAGGCCTGGCCATGCCGGGCACCAAGCTGCCCGCTCCTCCCAGCGTCCACCCGGCTCCCGCGGCCTCGCCTCCATCACTACTTACACGTGCCAAGCATTCTTTTACCTTTATATTGTGAAACATAACATACATACAAAAGAATGTATATACAAAAGAGATCTCTACTACTATCACCAATAAAAGACACCTGTGTGCCCTCCCTTGACTAAGACGCAATCTCCCTAGGAAGGCACACGACCATCCCCAAGCCACACGCCCGCTCCAACGGCCACCCTTCAACGTACTCCATTTCTCTCTCACCTCAGAACCTGACTGTATGCGCTCAGTACCCACAAGGTTCTTGTCTCCACTCTCTAAAGAGGACTGGCTGCTTCTCACCCTTCAGATTTTCTCTCCAAGACCTCCTTGCTCAGCCTTTCTCAGCCATCCCCGAGGACCCTGCCTAAGCTGGTGGCCCCTCACCCCCGCCATGCTCTGTCACTCCACGGGCTTCTCCCCTTCACAGCACGTGTTTTACAATTTACATCTATTCGATTACCTGTGGTTATTTTCTGTTTCTTACCACCAGACTGGTAAGCTCCATGAGAGCAGAGCCCAAAACTATTAATGAATCAGTGATGTCCAATCCCTGTCACATTGTAGGTAAGCCACAGATATTTCTTAAATGAATCAATGATTCGTAAGGACAAAGAAAAGCCAACCAAGGATGTTAAATTCGAGAGAAAGGGTGGAACGAATGACTCATTCTGGAAAATGAGAAGCACGAGCAGTTGAAAGCCAGCACTAAAAGGGAAGGGAAAGACCACTGCACGGAAACACCACAGGCCTGGCCTCTCAACTGAGGAATGGAACCAGTCAAAAGATTCGGACTCAAAGGGCTGTGAACTTAAAGGAATCTGCCCTATTTCCTACAAAAGTAGCCTTTCATTAACTACCTAAAACATATGAGACACTTGCTTAGGCTGCTACCTCTGCCTCTGGTTTTATAAAACCCGTTATGGGTGCTGGGCATTCAGAGTGCCAACAAGACTGTCTTATAGCAAACTCACTGCCACTGAAAGCAAACTCTGGAAAAAGTACAGCAAGTTCAGGGGAGGTTTGTATTCTGTTCTGTCACCATATTTTTAGTATGTTATGCTGCCCTCAGCAGAGACATAAAAAATGCTTTAGAACATTTGTTGAACATCTGTTCTTAAAAGATTACAATCAGAGTATAAAACGCACAGGAAAATAATTAAAAACATAGCATCACCTATGTAACATGGCACTCAAAGTGGAGCATGCATGAAGATCCGCCAGTGGATGCTGCAACAGAGGGCTGGGCCCTGCCCCAAGCTGCCAGTTGCAGGAGGCCCGGGGAGGGGACCAAGCATTTCCATTTCTAACAAGAGCCCAGGTGATGCTGCTGCTGCTACTTTGTATAAAATACCAAGGGAACAAAAGGCTGTTTGAAAAGGAATATCTTTTTTTTTAATTGTTTTACTTACACTTATTTAAAGAAAACATCTTTCTATTATTACAATAAAGACAAACACTGAGCACAGCTAGAAAGTGGGTTTTGGGGGGTTTTTTGGGGTTTTTTTGCGCTACGCGTGCCTCTCACTGTTGTGTCCTCTCCCGTTGCGGAGCACAGGCTCTGGACGCGCAGGCTCAGCGGCCATGGCTCACGGGTCCAGCCGCTCTGCGGCATGTGGGATCTTCCCAGACCGGGGCACGAACCCATGTCCCCTGCATCGGCAGGCGGACTGTCAACCACTGCACCACCAGGGAAGCCCCTAGAAAGTGTTTTTTAAAGACTGATTGAGATATTCAGGCTCTTGACATTTGCCAAACTAATGTGATGCTGACAGATCTCAGAATGTAAGAATCATGAGTAACATCTCATAAAATGCACATGTAAAAGCCGAAGGAAAAATCAAAATGAGATAAAACTTCGCATCCACTAGGATGGCTACAATCAAAAAGACGGGAATTCCCTGATGGTCCAGTGGTTGGGACTCCACGCTTCCACTGCAGAGGGCATGGGTTCGATCCCTGGGTTGGGGAACTGAGATCCCACATGCCGTGTGGTGCGGCCAAAAAAGAAAAAAAGACAGACAATAAGAAGTATTGGTGAGGATGTGGAGAAACTGGAACCTTCACACATGCTGGTGGGAACGTAAAATGGGCAGCCACTTGGAAAACAGCCTGGCAGTTCTTCAAAGGATTAAACAGTTACCGCGTGACCCAGCAATTCAACAAAAGGATATATATATAGGAGAAATAAAAACATAAGTCCACACAAAAACTTGCACACAGGGACTTCCCTGGTGGCACAGTGGTCAAGTATCTGCCTGCCAGTGCAGGGGACACGGGTTCGAGCCCTGGTCCGGGAGGATTCCACATGCCGCGGAGCAACTAAGCCCATGCATCGCAACTACTGAGCCTGCGCTTCAGAGCCCGCGAGCCACAACTACTGAGCCCACGTGCCACAACTACTGAAGCCTGTGCACCTAGAGCCTGTGCTCTGCAATGAGAAGCCACCACAATGAGAAGCCCGCGCACCACAACGAAGAGTAGCCCCCGCTCACCACAGCTAGAGAAAGCCCGCGCACAACAACAAAGACCCAATGCAGCCAAAACTTTAATTAATTAAAAGTTGGGTGGGTTCATTAAAAATAAAAAAACTTGCACACAAATCTGCATAGTATCATTATTCATAGCAGCCAAAAAGCAGCAACAATCCAAAATTCATCAATTGATGAATGAATAAAAAACGTGATATATCCATACAATGGAATATTATTCAGCAATTAAAATAAATGAAGGACTGATTCATGCTACAACATGGATAAACCTTGAAAACATTATTCTGAGGGAAAGAAGCCCACATATTGTATGATTCCATTTATATGAAACATCCAGATTAGGCAAATCCATAGAGACAGAAAGTAGATTAGTGGCTATCTGGAGCTGGGATGATGAGGGGACTCGAAATGGTGGCTGAAGGATGCGGATTTCTTTTTGAGGTGATGAAAACAGACTGGTAGGTGGATGCACAAATGTGAGTATACTAGAAACCACTGAACTTACACTTTAAATGGGCAGGTGGTATAATATGTTAATTGTAGCTGCTACAAAAATCAAACCAAGCAACCAAAGGGCACAGAAATTAGAAAAATACAAGATGGGATAGATACACCAGACAAACAGGCACAAGAACAACAAACAGGCAGCAGACTGAATATTAACAAGTTAAAACAGTATATGTGTAACGGATTCACTTTGCTGTACACCTGTAACTAACACAACACTGTAAGTCAACTATACTCCAATACAAATTAAAAAAGAAAAAATTTAAAAGAAATCACAAGGGTCAAAAAGGAGCGTTACATACTGATGAAGGAATAGCAGATCAAGAAGATGTAGAGAATATGTCCAATCATGTACCTAATAATATAGCTTGGAGATTTTTTAAAGGAGCAACTAACTACAGGTAATAAGAACTACAGGTAATATTGATAATCAAAACAATCTCAAACTTAGCTCCAGATAAAGTCCTAAATGTGAAAGGTAAAATTATGAAGCTACAGAAGCAGCTGTGGAAAATATCTTTGTAACTATCCACAACTCAAAAAAATAAACACACAAACAAAATGACAGATTTGATTCAAGTGAAAGATTTCAGTTCCAAAAAGGACAACAGATAGGAGGAAGGCATATGCAATGTTTAAACCAAATGGATTATCATTAAAGAACTCCTCCAAATCAATAATATCAAAAATGAAATGCAATTTTTAAAAATGGACCAAATAAATGAACTAGTTATTCACAAAAGGAGAAATCTAAATAGCTAACAAATATAAAGAGATGTTCAAGAAAAATGTAAATAAGAAGAAATCACTTTATACTCATCAGACCAGCAAAAAAAATAAGACAGCTGGATAATACAGTGTGTCAGCAAGGACATCAGAATACAGGAACCTGGACCACTGATGGGGGCACTGACAAAACCCGTTACTGCTGTTCTAGAGAACGCTGGAATGCCTCCCTCCACGACTAAGCAATTCCACTCCTCCGTATGCACCCACTCCTCCATATGCACTCATCAAGCTCTCAGAGCTCCCAAAGTAGGTGTGTAAGGGTGTTCGGTGTAGTCCTATCTGTCGTATTAGGAGATAAAGGCAATCCAAGCAGCCACTGCTTGGCGAACAGATAAGTAAAATACAGTAAATCACAAAGCTAAACACTCCGCAAGTGCCCAAAACAATGAACTAGATACAAAGATACAGATACACAGACAGAAATACAGAGCAATAGAAAACAAGAGTTGTAAAAACACGGTATTGAGTTTAAAAAAAAAAGTGATCTAAGGTAGAGTATCACTTTGGCACGTTAAAAACACACATATACAGAAGATAAACACGCTATCTTTCAAGGATATACACCTATCTAGGCAAATATTAGACACGTTAAAGCAGATGCCTATGAGGGGAAGGAGAATGGAAGTGAATAAAAGGGAATAAACAACGAAGAGAAATAATCACGGGTCTTGCACAGACCAATGACAAGTGTGCTGAGATCAACTCAACTCTGCACGTGAGGTTAAAAAAAAGAAAGGGCTATATTCATCTGAACGAAACACAATCCTGCTTTCCAACACACACATACCTGTTTGAGCAAATTATTCCAAGAGAACCGACGGGAGGACATACCTGTGCAGTAAGACACGCCTTTGCAAGTAGCATTAATGGCCTCTTGGCACTTCTTCTGGGCCGTCTCGAAATGACAGTTTTTACAGCAAGGACTGTTCCTATCACTACAGAGGAAGAGCAGACAGTCCAAGTCAAAGAACAGCCCCACAGCCTAGACTACGGTCATGCCACAGGGCCCTGAAATGGCAGGGCAGGGGCTCCTGGCTGGGTCACCCACTCCTGCACAGACTCCCAGGTGCTAGCACCACCTGCACATGGTCCATCTGCCCTTCCTGATGCAGACTCACGCAGCACAGTGGTCCAAAGTGACCCATCTTTAAAACATCTTGGTGTCCTTGGTTTTCATTAACTTAATACAGTAATTTAAAAAAAAAAAGGACTTCCCTGGTGGTCCAGTGGTTAAGACTCCACACTCCCAACACAGGGGGCATGGGTTCGATCCCTGGTCAGGGAACTAAGATCCTACATGCTGCATGGCGCAGCCAAAAACTTAAAAAAACAAAAAACAAAACAAAAAATACTCAAGCCCACAAGGCAACAGTGGTCAAGAAACTAGTCAGCCCTATCAGTATTTACAGTGTTAATAAGCACTGTATTCCATTAAATCTGTGACCATAAATCAAAGTTTTCCCCCTACTTCTAAGCCAGGCACTGGACGTTAAAAATGGAAATTTAAGTACCTTCTAACTTGTAACCTGCTTCCTCCACAGTTTCTGGGATTAAACAGTATTCTTCAACACTATTTACAGTATAGATACACAATAATTAATTTATGCCCCAGGACTGTCATTTTGATTGTTTCCCATATTTTGTTATTATAAAAGGATGTAGCCATGAACACCCCTGCTAAATCATCTTTGTACATCTCTGTTTCCTTAGAAAAGATTCTTTGTACTAAGGCATCGCTACAGCAGAGAGGATGCAAGATGGAGGATTTGTGATACAATGTCACGTTGCTTTCCAGAAAACATTTTTCTCGCTATAAAGGGCAGAAGGGGTAAACGCACACTTGCCAGGCCCTCTGATGATTCTAGAGCCCCGCGCTTTCAGCCCGCTGTTGTGAGGACCCCTGTCAGGCGCCCAACTCCACCCCGCGCCACGCTCCTCACCTGCACTGGACGCCCGGCCTCAGCATGCAGTCACTGTTGCAGCAAGTGTCGTTGTTCAGGTACATGATGCCGGGGTCACACTCCTCCCCCTCGTCCACCCTGGAGTTCCCGCACACTTTGTTGCTGCGTTCTTGAAAACACTCCTGGGCCTTACTTTCAATGGTCTTATAGATCGACTGTTTACTGCAGTTTGAAAACATCTTAAGAGAAAAGAGGCCACATAGGACCCAAAATAACATAAAAATTCATTCCCAGGTGGTGTTTGTGCTTCTTTTCCAGGGACAAACTTTAACACAAAAGCCACAATCAGAACCATCTTGAAGGTATGTCAGGTTCACTGTCGCCTCTAAATGTCATTTGTATGGAATTGAATCATGGCCCTCTGCAAGATGCTAAAAAGCTGACATGAACGTGGTTAAGAGCCTAAAATTCTTCACAGGAAAGTAAGCTACACGAATGCTGAGACCAAACACCCCAGCCAGTCTAGCACGAGCAGTGAGTCACCAGACTCTAAGCCACCCCAGGCTCAGGCACAGGCCCCGCTGCAGGGACACTGAGAAGAGGGCACAGGCGGCCATCTTCCTAGATGCAACGATCCAGGCCTGCAAAACAGGGTCTCCTATGGTTTACCTCTTCATCTTTCCCTGAATATTTACATCAATGATCCATGTTTAAAGTGTTTAAATAGTTGAGCTTAGTAAGAGGAATGTTATTACATATAGTCTATTAAAAGATTAAATTTTAAATTATTACCTAAACGTTTTCATGAGTCCCCAAGATCTTAAGTTTCTTTGAGTTTCTACAGTTGACCAGCATCTCAAAGGAAGCCTGAACCCTAGCTTGCCCACTTGGTATACAGAAACATGAAAATGACCTAAATCTGGGCATTTTTACCTGGAGCTCTAAAATGGAGTCCATTTCCCAAACCATCTGAAATTATCAAGAGAAGCGGAACAAGACTTGGGTAAAACTCAGCGCGGGTACTTGTAGAGGTAGGGCCGCCACGGTTTGCAAACGGCTACAATGGCTTCACTTTCAACCCAGACAAGGGCCATGAGACCCCTGAGGAGCAGAGAGCACAGGACCCTTATGAAATGGTATAAAATATACACTGGTCTCTGGCCCCAGTTCCTGGCACAGAGCTCCCGAAGCCCCTGTAATTTCCTGGGTCAAAATGGGAGTGTCTTTTGTTGTAATGAGCCGACTTGGAGTGGGCTCCTTGGTGGCTCCTGGATGGGGGCTGGTCACCAAAATGACCAAGCCGCCATGAGAAGCTTGGAATTTTCAGCCCCGCCTTCCATTCTCTTTCGAAGGGACAAGGGCTTAAAACGGAGCTAATGGCCGATCGTGCCTATGTGATGAAGCCTCCATAAAATCCCAAAAGTACAGGGTTCAGAGAGCTTAGGGGTTGGTGGACACAGCGGGGTGCTGGGAGAGGCGTGCACTCAGAGGCAGGGCAGCTCCACGCCCCTTCCCACACACCTCGCCCTATGCATCTCTTCCATCTGGATGCTCATCTGTATCCTTGATCATAGCCTTTTATCATAAACTGGCAAACGTGTTTCCCTGAGTTCTACGAGCTGCTCTAGGAAATTAACTGAACCCAAGGAGAGGGTCATTGGAACCCCCAATCTATAGCCAGTTGCTTAGAAGCACAGGCGATGACCTGGGTTTGTGAGTGGCATCTGGGGATGTGAGGGGGGGAGCGCAGCATCAGGGCACTCTTATGGGACTGAGCCCTTAACCTTTGGGATCTGGTGCTATCTCCAGGAAGAGAGTGTCAGAACTGACTTAAACCCAGCTGGCGTTGCAGGAAACAGCTTAGTGTCAAGAAAAACCTCCACGTTTGGTGACCAGAAGGGTCAGAAGTGAAGTGGGCTCTATGAATAGTAAAGTAGACACACAGGAAGAAACACAGAATAGGGAAGAACTGTGTAGGTTTTCCCTACACAGGAAGAAAAAACTGAATTGATTTTCCTTTTCGACCCTCCAAAGGTGACTGTGACCACTGAATCAGATACAAAAGGATTACTCTCCGAAAGACACTGAAGACCCCATCTCCCTAAACGGAAATACTAACTGGATTTTTTTTAAAGGACAGTAAAGACATTTTTAAGGGGCCTGGTTATTTCAGTCTAGACCTCAGGCAGTTAGTATTTTGCTGCGTTTATTCACCAGCACTGCATAGTCATGAGCTCAATTCTACCAGTTCATTATGGGAGGCCAGGTCCTTATGAATTCAAATTCACACTGAACCAATAAGAAGATCTCTTTGCTAATTTATCAGAGTCACACCCCTAAGCAGCTGGACCCCCGGACAGAGCTGAGGGAAAAGTGACCACTTCACTCTCGCTTTTGTTGCCTCCGCACTCCCCGAAGACCTCTGAGGCCTCTCTCTGTATCCTTACCACACCCCCTTCTCCTCCCACCAATAAACTCTAAGAGGTTACAATCCCTAATGCCGTCTGCTCACAGCAGAGCCTGTGGCTTGATACTTCTCAGTGGCTTGTCTGGTGTAAGGTGCCAGGTCCTGTCTTTCTAGGTCGAGGAACCACCTTATTTTTGTCCTGGAGCCTTTTTTACCTAGTTAAAAACATTTTAAGGAATTAATTTTAATTAAGGAATTAAAATGTGGGACTAGAAGATGCTCAGTATCTTTTTACAAGGAGATTGCTACTTGGGTAAACCAAACTATTAAAGAAAATACACTTGGGACAAAATAAATAAATGGATAAAGTGTTCTTCGCTGATAGACTAGCAGCTCCAGAAGTAAATGGCTCTGCCCAGCCTCCATTCTCATTAGCGAGTTCCTACAGGGCTGTTCCAAGAGCCCATCGGGGAAGTCTCCCTTAGGAAGAACTTGTAACAGGAAGAGTTAGCACCACGCATGCTCACGTGAACAGTCTGCAAAGTAAAACATTTTACCCCAAAGTACTGATGCCATCCTCATGACCAAGAAGCAGTGACTAACAACTAGAGCTGCACTGTCTAATACGGCAGCCACTGGCCATATGTGATTATTTGAATTTCTTTTTCCTCATCACATATTTCACACTTTTTATTACAGAAACGTTCAAGCATCTATAAAGTGGACAGAATGGATTCATGAATGCTCACATGGCCCCTCACCAGCTTCAGCAATTATCAACTCACGGCTTCGTGACTCACCTATATCCTCACCATTTTCCCTCTGTTCCCACACTGTTTTTTGTTGTTGTTGTTTGGGTTTTTTGCAGCTTTATTAAGGCATATTTTACATATCACAAAATTTACCAGTTTCAATTGTACAATTCAGTGATTTCTAGTAATTTTACCAAGCGATGAAACCATCACCATAAATCAGTTTTAGAACATTTCATCACCTCAGTAAGGTCCCTCAGATCCTTTTACAGGTAATGCCCATTCCCACCTCCAGCCCCAGGCAACCACTACTGAATGTAAACAAAACAGAATTTAAAATTCAGTCCCCTGGTCTCTCCAGCCACATTTCAAGTGCTTCCTGGCCACATGGGGCTAGTGACCACTGCACTGGGTACAGCGGACAGTGTTCCCCCATCACAGAGCCTTCCAGTGAACAGTGCTGAACTATGATGCACCTCATTAGAAAGAGAGAGACAACCTCTGGAAAGAGGAGAAAAATAGGGAATGTGATACAATGGAAGAACAGGCAGAACAGGGAGCTCCTCAGGCACAGGTTGTCCAGGGGAGGAAAAACAAAGCATAACAAGCAAAGAAAGAGAGGAATGGACTTTACACCTAACAGCCAAAGAAAAGTAGATGCAACAAACAAAAAACATGACCAAAAAAACATAAGACCAGAATTTTAAAAGGCAGGGTCAGGGCCAGGGAAACGCAAAAGTAATCCTTTCCTCTAGCTCCTAGTCAGGCTTTAAAAGGGGAGTCACGACAAATAACTTGACACTTCCTTCCCGATTAGATGCAGACGGTTAGCCCATCCCCCAGCCCACTTAAATTCTGCACAAAACCACAATCTTTTCCTCATGATGCCTCATGCTGCTCAACTTGAAGTAAGAGGAAGAAGGCCCAGACAGACATCTATGAACACTTTCAGTTCAGGCTCTACGAGTTAGTCATAGCCACTCTTAGCAAAGTCTCTGAAGCTGTTTACCATGTCCCAAATCAATGAGTATTGTGTACTCCACCAGACACCCTCAAAAATCGTTCCTCTAAAAAAGCAAAAAATCATTCCTCTATTTACCTAACAAGTATTTATTATGTACCAGCTACCCCGAACAGGCACTGGAGACAGAACCGGTAACCAGAAAGGCAAGGAAGGGCCCTACCCACAGGACGCTTACATATGGCAAATTACATATTTTTTTGCGAAGGTTTATTAAAACGTGCAAATTGTGAAGCAGTGTAGGGTTAATATGAATGACAAACCTGTAAATTAAATGAAGTTTTTAATTGAAAGCCTGAGCCCACCAGATCCTGCAAACTAGGACTCCAGTGCAAGCCATTATATTAATTAATTTTCCACACAGCCCAAACCAACACATGATCATCTTTGACAACAAACAGTCCAGAGGAGCAGATTTAGATGGACCATGTTTCACTCTTAATACACACAACCAAGTTTCAAGGTACTTCGTAATCTGCCGTTCCATCCCTAGAATGGAAAGCTTTTCTGAGCTCTCATTATAATTAAACATAGCCTCTTTCTTTCCTAACCACATAAAAAACACTCCAAAAGATACATACCTTATTGTTCTCATGATCGCCACTCACAGCTATGGGATACATAACATACTTTCCTCCCTGGTCCTCATTTGGGGCACATTCTGCTAGACCATCTGGATCGTGTTCTGCTCCAAAATTGTGCCCCAATTCATGAGTTGTAACGAGGTCAGCTTCCTGAAGGATCATGCAGAGCAAACATTATTTCCTAATAGCCAACCATCAAGTGCTCTGGCCAGTTGGGCCCTGCTGTCTTAGATGTTGGACTACGACTTCTTCTATCAATTACAGAAATTAAACAGAATTCATGGGATTTTATTTAATATTGCAAGTAGTATTATAAGGATGAATTTAAATCAGTGTAAGAAAACATAACTTAAAAGATACACTGGAACACTCTTACTGAGGCACCAAACATTGGCCATTCCAAACACTGCCTGGCACCAGTAAACCCAATAGCTAACAGTCAATCACCCAACCTCCCGCCCCTCACCCCAATCACACTCCTGTTAAGATCTAACTATTGCGCGGGAGGGGGTGGGTGAAAATAAGACAACTGAAGAACAACAAAACAATGTTCCTTATCCCAGTGACTGAATCCAGGTCCAATGACAGTCTTAATGACCTAGAGGATTTTATTTATCAGAATCCAGTTAAAGGGCTGCACTGAACCTATGAGATCACCAGAGGATTTCTACCTGAATGTAACAATGAATTTGGCCAGTAAAGCTAAAAATGTTCCCGTATTTAACTGCAAAAAATAACAAAGTTATTTACTGATTTTTTTCCTAAGGGGGGGGGGGAATCACTCCATAGAATCTGAAAAAATTTGTATGTATTTTGCAAGACATGGGAATTTTTTTTAAGACAGAGTCCCAATTCTGAAACCAGTGTGTTGAAGATTACCAAGTGTTTATATTAAAATGGTAGTAAAGAAAACTTTGCATTTTAGCAAAAAAGTACTCAAATCCTAAAGGTGCAATATGGAGAATTGATTCCAAACTGTGCTTTGGAAAAATTCATTAGTGGATTCTCTAACAGACTGACACTTTAAAAACATCGAAGCAATTTATTTTTTGTTCTGTGTGTCTTATAATAGAAAAATTCTGGAAGACCAAGGAAAACATGTCATGAAATCAAACCATTGATGATGCTGTGCTACCAAAAAGGTAAAGGAGTACCATAAGAAACAATTTTGGAAATTAAAAAGTTTCCAAAAACTGCTTAGTATATTTTTCTTCTCTCATCCCATTTCACTTTTTTTAAATCAACCAAAGTCCGTAATTTATATTAGGGTTCACTCTCTGTGTTGCACTTTCTATGGGTTTTGACAAACACGTAAAGTCTTATATCCATCATTAAAGTATACAGAGTAGTTTCAACACCTGAAAAAATCCTCTGTGCTCCACCTATGCATCCCTCCCCACCTGGGGAAGCAACCACTGGCAACCACTCATCCCTTTCCTGCCTCTGTGGTTTTGCCTTTTGCGGAATATCATATAGATGGAATCAAACAGATTGGCTTCTTTTACTTCGTAATATACATTTACAGTTCCTCCATGTCTTTTTATGGCTTGATAGCTCTTTTTCTTTCTTTCTTTTTTTTAAGTGCTGAATAGTATTGCATTGTCTGGATATAACAGTTTGTTTATCCATTCACCTACTGAAAGGCATCTTGGCTGCTTCCAAGTCTTGGCAATTACTAATAAAGCTGTTATAAACATCCGTGTGCAGGTTTTTGTGAGGGCTCCTTTGAGTAAACACTAAGGAATATGGTTGCTGGATCCTATGGTAATACCAGAGTAAGTTCAGTTTTATGAGAAACTGCCCAACCACCTTCCTAAGTGACTGCACCATTTTGCATTTCCACCATCAAGTGTGAGAATTCACGTCGCTCCACATCCTCGCTAGCATTTGGTGTTACCAGTATTTTGGATTTTAGCCATTCTAATAGTTGTGTAATGGTATCTGCTTGTTGTTTTTTTGTTTGTTTTTGTTTTTGTCTTTTGCGGTACGCGGGCCTCTCACTGTTGTGGCCTCTCCCATTGCGGAGCACAGGTTCCGGACGCACAGGCTCAGTGGCCATGGCTCACGGGCCCAGCCGCTCCACGGCATGTGGGATCTTCCCAGACCGGGGCACGAACCCGTGTCCCCTGCATCGGCAGGCGGACTCTCAACCACTGCGCCACCAGGGAAGCCCTGCTTGTTGTTTTGATTTGCAATTCCCTAACAGCATATAATGTTGAGCATCTTTTCATATGCTTATCTGCCATCTGTATATCTTCTTTGGTGAGGTGAGGTGTATATTAAGATCTCTGGCCAATTTTTAAGTGGGGTTGTTCGGTTCTTTATTGTTGAGTTTTCAGTATATTCCTTATATATTTTGGATAGCAGTCCTTTAACAGGAGCTGTAGATGAAGGGCGCCAGAAGGGATGTCTTTAGGGAAAACAATAATCCCGACTTGTCTCAAAAGAAATTTGACAGCTAACAATTATTTTCTTCTTTATACTTTTTATTTTCATATTTCCCACTAAAAGCATACATCTTTTTAGGCAGAAACAAAAAACAGTATGTATAGCTTTTAAAAAAGATACCTAAATAAATATGTAATAGCTCAGGTCCTACTACAATAAAGTCAAAATCTACACTTTTAAAAATTAAAGAACATACCTTTGTAAGGATGGTTTTACCATAATTTTTTGTGCTGGTCAAACCACTATTCAAATAGATATTTTTCTTTCCAATTGGACTATAATAAGCTACAGGAAAAAGGAAACAGAAACAAACTGCTTGTTCAATACAGAATTATAATATAATCCAATCACCTTGCTATCCCCACATATTCATACAACAAATGGAAAACTTACCCTTTGGGCAAACACCTCCATGACTGTTTGCTCTGGGAGAACCAACATAAGCTAATCCAAGAGTTCCCATATCAAAATCTTGGTAGGTGAAAAGATGTGCTAGGCAGACTTTAGATGCTTCTTCAGCTATATCAAAGCTAAATTGCTTTTAAAAAAACAAAGTACTCTTAATTAGATTAACAGTTACATCAGACTAAAAGATATATCAACTTAACATTCCAGAATACTACCATACTTTATGATTGCAATTTTTTTTACATTTTTTTAATTGAAGTGTAGTTGATAGACAGTAAAAGTTACAGATATAGTAATTCACAATTTTTAAAGGTTATACTCCATTTATAGTTATTATAGAATATTGACTATATTCCCCATGTTGTACAATATCCTTGTAGCTTATCTTACACATAACAGTTTGCACCTCTTATCCCCTACCCCTATTTGCCCCTCCCCCCCCCCCCAACTGGTAACCACTAATTTGTTCTGTCTGTGAGTCTGTTTCTTTTCTGCCACATTCACTAGTTTGTTGCATTTTTTATTTATTTGTTTATTTGTTTGTTTCTTGGCCACACTGGGCGGCATGCGGGATGTTAGTTCCCCGATCAGGGATGGAACCCATGCCCCCTGCAGTGGGAGCGCCAAGTCCTAACCACTGGGTCGCCAGGGAAGTCCCTTGTTGTACTTTTTAGATTCCATATATAAGTGATATCATATAGTATTTGTCTTTCTCTGACTTATTTCACTTAGCATAACACCCTCCAAGTCCATCCATGTTGTTGCAGATGGCAAAGTGTCATTCTTTTTTATGGCTGAGTAGTATTCCTGTGTGTGTGTGTGTGTGTGTGTGTGTGTGTGTGTGTGTGTGTGTGTATCTATATATATACGCCACATCTTCTTTATCCATTCATCTACTGATGGACACTCAGGCTGCTTCCATATCTTGGTAACTGTAAAAAGTGCTATGAACATTGAGATGCCTGTATCTTTTCAAATTAGTATTTGTTTCTTTGGTCGATTGCAGTTTTTCACCAGCAATCACAAAATTGTGTGGTATAGTGCTCCTTACCTATGGTTCTCACTCATCTACACAGATGAGAAGCAGACTGTCATGGGGAGGGTGCAAAAGGGAAAGAGACTGGAGCTTTTTATAGCATTTCGGAACTAGGAGGGTTGATGTGAACACATGCAGTTCAGCACCGGGGACACTCCAATTCTGCAAGGTGCAGGGCTTTGATACTTCTTCCAGAGGATCTCAGCACCTCATACCAAAACAAATCCCTCTAAAGGACTTCAAGGATTCTATTGGTTTTGTAGGGGTTTTAAAGTTTGCTTTGGTTTTACAATGTATAGGAGTTATAAACTTACAGGAAAACATATATACCTAGTTTTATGTTACTAAAATTAAGATAAAAATTCATTCAAGTCAACACTGGTGCTTTGGGTTTTTTTTTCTTAAAAGGGGTCCACATATTACTTTATTTTTTTCATTTTTTAATTTTTTGACCACACCACACGGCCTGCAGGACGCCAGTTCCAGACCAGGGACTGAACGCGTGTCCCAGCAGTGAAAGCACCAAGTCCGAACCACTGGACCGCCAGGGAATTCCCCAGAACGGGTCCACATGTTACTTTAAAAACCTCTACCATAACAGTCAGAGACTCCAACTTAAAAAGACTGATTTTTTTAATGCTTAAAATGAGTGGTTGGAAAGCCCCGTATACGGAATGAGGTGTTCCCGGGAGCTGTCTCCCTAGCCACATAGGGATTTTGATAGTTCCATGATAATAGGCTTAGGCTCTGGGACACTCTTAGGCGCCTTAGGGAAGAGAACTGGAGAGAGCATCTGCAGAGGCAAGTCATTCCCTTTTGTTCCTCCCCCGGTGTGAGTTGTCTGGAGGCCCACAGAAAAGCAGAGGTGGGATCGTTCAGCTGTCCTAGATGTCTGGAGATCTGGCCACTTGTTTTTGGCTTTGTCATCACTAGTTGTGTAACTAAACGTAGACAAGTCATTTAACCTTGCTGTTAATGGGCTGAATTGTGTCCACCTCCAAAATTCATAGGTCGAAGTCCTAAGTCCTAGCAGCTCACAATGTGACTGTATCTGGAGACAGAGCCTTCCTTTAAACAGGTGATGGAGGTAAAATGAGGTCATGCAGGTAGGCCGAACCCAAAATGCCTGGTGCCCTTACACACACAAAGGGAAGACCATGTGAGGACACAGAGAGAAGACGGCCACCTACAAGCCAAGCAGACAGAACTCAGAAGAAGCTAACCTTACCAACACCTTGATCTCAGACTTTCAGCCTCCAGAACCGTGAGAAGATAAATTTCTATTGTTTAAGCTGCCCACTCTGTGGTGCTTTATTATTGGCAGCCCTAATAGACTAATACACTTGGCTGAGTCTCTTTAGAAGAGTAATGGTGCTATCTCAGACAACCTCTCCGGTGGCTAGTGGCCCATGTTAGATAAGGTATGTCAGAGTATTATACAGATACAGCACTCTATGGATCTCAACCTGATAATATCCTTTAACTCCATTCAAGCTTTGAAAACTTGATTTCGCTTTGGCCTTGTTGAGACTCTAACCAGAGAACCCAAATAAGCCACACTGTGCCTGGACCAACCCTAGAACCTATCAGATAAATAAAGATGTCGTTTTAAGCTGCCAAATTTGCAGTGATTTGTTACAGCAGCCACAGGAAACTAACACATTAACAACACAGCAAAAGATAAACACTATCACTTCACAGGTGGTCATTTTACAACAAAGCAATAGGACACACAGACAGAAACTGAGATCATGTGACAAAAAGGATAAATCATATCTTGTCAAGGCAAGAATCCATATGACATAGAATGTTTATGTTATCTTTAAATTTGTTACCAGAATAAAAACACAAAAATTTTAAATTTCCATAGAGAACTTTCAGATCTCCAAGTTATACTTCTACCATCTAATACATTTTCATACCATTTGGTAATTACTGACCTAAAAGATCTACTGATAAGCTTCAAAGAGACCTGAACTAACAAAATGGTGTGTAAAATATCTGTAAGTTGGGTATCCATCTATTTTCTAAAGGCCTATTACTTCACTAGATTCGCAGAGATATTATGGTTAAGAAGCATTGCTTTGTAGCATTTTTCGCTTTCAGTTCTGCCCACCTTGCTGTCTGCCCTGCTACAGGGGATAAGGTCACTGTTGGATCAGCTGGGGTGGGCTGCCCCTGGTTTTCAGTCACCTTTCCTAAGATGCCCCTTCATTAATACAGACATGACCCACGTTTTTAGGAATCAGAAAATGGTGTTAAATAGTATCACTTTCAGGGTTCCACGACCTACCTCTAGCAGCATCTTCACGTCCCAAGCATCCTTTTCTTCACTTGGGTAACTTTTTGCCATATTGAAGTGCCTTTCACCAGGTCTCACCTCTTGTGGAGACTTGAGAATGCGAATCTATACTTAAAGAGAGAAAATACTTAGAACACTTCAGAAAAAAGTCACAAGACTGAAATAATACTGCATTGTTTCAGCTATTCAAAAAAAGACCATCTACCATTCTTTAAAAAAAAAAAGTTTTAGAGTCAAAATTCCATAAAATTCTTCAGCTCTAATATCTGTTTAATTTAAAAACAAACTGAGAAGCAAATGGTATGGAAAACACATATGTCAAAGAATGATTTATAAATGTACTCCTAAAATTTTATTTCCTCTATATTTAGTTGGAAAAAATGAAAACCTAGGTTCCATGAGCCTAAAATAATTTATTCCAACTACAGTCACTGATTCAGAGATACAGAACAATAAGATGTGCAGCACCGCACACCACAGGAGTAAGAGTACAAAAAATAAGGGCTTTTCCTTACACACAGTACAAATTCATATTAATCCTAATTTTTTAAAAAAGGAACAAAGGTTTCTCTCCAAAGGAGATGAAACGTATAGGTTGGAAAATCTGGCAAAGGAACAGTGCCATGCTCAGCTCATTGCGTCTGGTATCTCTTCCAGATCTGCCTGCCTACAGAGGGGATACTGGGGTCTGCTCTGCCACCATGTGGTAAGCTCACTGGGGCGGCTCTGCAGCTTTGGCGGTGGGTGATCAAGATCAATTCTGCGATGAACCAGGTGAGGGCCCACTGTGACAGCATATCTAAACCACAGCCTCCAACCCACCTATCATCTTTAAAGAAACGGGTTTTTTAATCTCCTATCACACCTAATTTTTTCAATTGTTTCCAAATTTTAAAGCAAAAAGGAGCTTTATTTATTGGTCTTCTAAAACTCAAACATGATGCAGCTATTTTAAACAAGTGAGACAACTTTATTGTACCACAATGGAATAATCACCAACATATTCATGAAATGAAAAAGCAAGGTGCAAGAGTACAACATACCACAAATATGTCAAATACACACATATACAAACACATGCTATGCATGCATAAAATATCTCTGGAAAGATATGGATGAAACTAGTGACACGGATGTCTCTGGGGAAAGGAACTGGTTTGACAATGGGTAGAGGTTGAGGAGACTTACTTTTCACTGGCTTTTGTACCGTGTATATATTACCTATTCAAATAATAACTTAAAAAAGAAAATGCAAAACAGTAAAAGAATGGAAAAGGGGAAAATAATTCTCTTAGTTTTCTACAAGTACTATAAAAGTTTAGCATTTATAAGTATGATTTCAAATGCTTTTTTCTTTTTATTCTCTAAATTCTAACCTACAGAACCTATAAGAATATGTCTAGTTTAGTACAAAGAGCCTGGAAAAAATAGAGACAATAATTTCCTTAATTTACATGTCAAAAATGTCTGTCCAAAGCAATACCCAATTTCAGAAGTCTTGTTAATCAGTCTTATCAATTTGGAACAATTTTTACTATGTGATATAATTAGGATGACATTAATACATCATTGCTGGACATACTCTATTGACAGATAAGAACTCAGGAGATTTTTGGGAAAAGAGATCTAATGGTTCTGTATGTATAAACGCCTTGCAAATGTACATAGTATTTTTAAGTAAATTTTCTAAGCATTCAACAATACGTGCTAGAATTCTAACTACAGACATTAAGCATAATCATAGAAAACTAAAGCAAGGCAGGGATAAAAAGGCTATGAATTCAGAAAAAAGAGAGATCATAGCAGCATAAGGTGGCTTTCTGCCTAAAATAAGCCTAAGAAAAGAATATTTCATAATCTATAAATAATATCAAAACACTGTTAAGTTTATCAGATAAAAATCACTGGCATTTCAGAATATTTATTTATGAGTAAAGTAGAAGATAAGTTTCTGGGTTGTGAAAACAAGTGACAAATATTTACAACACATAACTTAGCTGAGTATTATAACCCACATCCATTGATAAATACCTGCTCTATCTGTATTCCATAACCTTTAAAACCTGCATTGTCCCATGAAGTGTTCCGATAGATGTCATCAACTCTGTCAATTAGCTCTATCTGTGTGTATAAAAGGGCGAGAGAAAGACATTATGTATATCTTTACCACTCTTAGCAATGTAATATAAGTTCTGCAGGGGTAAAAAAAAAAAAAAAAATCAGTTCAGATAAAATACCATTGTAAAAGTTTCACCAATTACAAAAACTCGCATTAAGATGTTATGCTTTACGTTGACAGCGCTAATAAAGAAATTATTCCTAGCCTCAAACTTAAAATGTTGGTACCAGAATAAAGCAGTGGTACAGTTTATCCCAAATTTCAGGTAATCAACTGCAAAGGGAACCAAAATATCAAGTAACAAGTTTTTTTAAAAACTGCCATTCCAGGGCTTCCCTGGTGGCGCAGTGGTTGAGAGTCCACCTGCCGATGCAGGGGACACGGGTTCGTTCTGTGGTCCGGGAAGATCCCACATGCCGCGGAGCGGCTGGGCCCGTGACCCATGGCCGCTAAGCCTGCGCGTCTGGAACCTGTGCTCCGCAATGGGAGAGGCCACAACAGTGAGAGGCCTGTGTACCGCAAAAAAAAAAAAAAAAAAAAAAACTGCCATTCCAGTCAACTACAGAAATGAAAGTTGAAAGTCAATCAATTTACCTAAAATATTCCTAAAAATAAGTACTCTGTTCATTCTATCTCTTGCCACGTACCTCAGAAAAACATCTTCTTCAGAAAGAGGTAAGGAACAGTGACAGATACTGCTAACCCTACACAAGACCCTCCCTGGGCAAAGTTCAGCACCGAGGACCAGGTAGAAACAGAGAGAGAGAAATGAGGTCTCACCACACCTCCTTTCTCCTGTCCTCTGATTTGGGGAGGGGGAAAGTGGGTAGAGCTACTGAGGGAGGAGCCACAGTACAATAGCCAAGGACAATTCAAACTATTGAATATATAGGAACAGAATACTCATTACCAATCTGCTCCTCAAAGAGAAGGTTTTATTGTTCAAAAACTGGGTAAATGAGGTTTGTTCTGGCAGCTGTGAAGCACATTATACATCTAAGAAATTGTTCTTTGCTTATAGTAACTGTAAACCAAGAAATGCAATTTTTAACACCAGACCTCTCATTATATTCATATTCTTGGTGTAATGAACAAAGAAGCAAACTAAGAGCCCCTAATACAAAACCCATACTAAGAAAGCATCTTTTCAAGAAGGACTCTCTTACTTAGGAACAAGAACTATAGTGACTTCACACACTACTCCTACTACCCTCATAATAAATTCACTTGACGTGGAAGGGAAGGGAAAGAAGGGTGAGGAAGGGCACAAAAAAACACAGAATGGGAATAGCAAGGCAAGGAGAAAGACGTCTTTGCTGCACCGGGCTCTGCACTACGAATGAATAGCTGCATTCTCTTATTCCCTCAACATCATTTCTGTCAGTGCCAAGTTATCACGAGGAATGAGGTCATACTGACAAAAAAAAGTCAATGAAATATGATTCCCTTGACTTTTAAAATTACAATAGTAAATGCTTAAAAATCCAGCATCAATACTTCTGTAATCCTGCCTTCAAATCTTTGCCCTATAGTTATGACCACAAAAGTCCCATCTATTTCATCCAGTTATAGTCCAACAATTAGCTATTTTATACCAGTACAACACAAACCAAATTGACCAACTCCTCTGATATATACATATAAGCAAAAATAATACACACAAGTTCATACAAATATCAATACTTTTTTCCCCCACTCTGGAGCATACATCCATACGTGTCACCAACAGGATCACTGCCATTATAGCAGAGATGTTTTCACAGAGTTCACTTCTATAAAGGAAGGCCTACGTTATGAACTTTCCCTAAACATAATATGCATAAAAATTCTGATGTGCAGAAAATCTTAGTTGAAAGGCAAAATGGGGTTTCAAAAATTTGAAACTAGAATCTCTATACAATAATGTAAGAACCTCAGGTGACAGCCCTCAAATATTTTAGGGGACGACAGAGCATCTGAAACAGATCTCATTTCACTACGTTCAAATTATAGCAGTCTTCTCTTAAATGGAATTTGCCTACCTACGTGAGCTTTTCTGTCCATTACCTCATCCAGTATCAAACACTTACCAAGTAGTTTGTAGTTGTACTCTCTTCCCCTCTGCCCATGTATCTGTAAAAGCGATGATCTGCTACCACCAATAATTTACACGTATTCTTCAGGGGATTAGGGTCAGCTCTTCTCTTCACCCGATGAACAAGCTCTAATATGAATTTGGATGCACTATTAAATCAAAATTCATCAAAACAAGGAGTGTTTTATAGTAACATTTTAAATCTACTGTATTTTTGAAACAAATATTATTTGAGCTCAGTATCCTTAACGGTATCTTGAACAGGAAAACAATTTGGAGAAAGACAAAAAGTGAAAAGTAATATGAGGTTTTCAAATTGTAGAATTCAAAACCAAGGAAAAGTGCAAAAGTACTTAACAGAATAAAACAATCACCTATCTATTGCTGGGCTATGAACGTGTCATTTTCTTCTAGAAGAAGTCTACAAATTAACAAAAGTAACAGTAAAAACATCCAGATAATCAAACATTAAAAAATTAGTGGGGATTCCCTGGCGGTCCAGTGGTTAGGACTCCGCCCTTTCACTGCTGAGGGTGCAGGTTCAATCCCTGGTCGGGGAACTGAGATCCCACAAGCCATGCAGGGCAGCCAAAAAAAAAAAAAAAAATTGAAAAATTATTTTGTGTCAACAGGTCATTTTTTCTTATCAAATAATCACACTGTTTAAGAATTTAGTTATATACTAAAATGCTAGTAATATTTTTCTAAAGTTTTCAAAAATGAGGACAGAATATTTCTCCAAGATGGGTAGATGGTCTTTAAATGACTCTAAATTCATCTGTCCCAAGACTGATTAATTTTCTTCTTTCTGAACAGGACAGTCCTCTCCTGCTACCAACTAATTTCTTATAAACTTATCTGAAGATTGTTTTTTCACAGTACTATTCTGTCATTTCTAAATACCTACAAATGAAAATATTTTCCCTCAGATTATTCAATTTCCCCTTTCCCCAATCTTTTTAAAAGTCCAATCTTTATTGCCATCATTATTTTCTAGTGTTTTCAATTCTTACAGAAAAAACATCAAGAAATTTCTGAACAAAACTATTTTCAAGCCAAATACTATAGTTACTTGATAATCATGTTCCTTTTTATCAATTAACAACCACCCACTGAAGACAACTGTTATGCTTGCTTCTTATTTGAAATATATTTTTCTTAGTCTTACCATCAGGTGGCTCTCTGCCTACCAGCCCTTTTGGAAGCAACTCTTCATTATCCGCCTTTATATAACCACACACTTTTGGAGACTGCAAACGTGAAACATTCTTGATATCTTCAGATTTATAAACTAACACTCTTTTGTCTTTAGTATCATTAATTAGTCTCCAAAGTGGCTAAAATAGAAAACAAATATAACTGAGATGGAAAATATAAAAATTCCTAAATATTCAAGCCTTACAACATCCTTTCCTTATTTTTAGATAACATTCATTTCCAGGTTAAGTAAACTGACTAGTCAAAACAAAGTTCTTCTCTGTAAGGACAATGGTCTCATCAGAACCAGATAGCTCAAACAGAAAAGATTCTGTATATGTATATGTGTGTGTGTATGTATCTCCATATCCGTCACAGAAATGAAAATCAAAACCTCAAGGAGACCACTTCATAGCCACTAGGATGGCTGTAATCAAAAAGACATATAACAACAAGTATTGGCAAGGATGTGGAGAAACCCTCATCTACTGCTGGTGAGAATGGAATACGGAATATAAAATGCAGTAACTGTAAAATGGTGAGAATGTAAAGGGCAGCCACTATGGAAAACAGCCTGGCAGTTCCTCAAAAGGTTAAAAACAGAGTTACCATATGACCCAACAATTCCATTCCTAGTATATTATATACCCAAGATCAATGAAAATATATGCTCACATAAAAACCTGTTCAAAAATGTTCATAGCAGCATTATTCATAACATAAGTAGAAATAACACTAATATCCAACTGATGAATGAATAAGCAAAATGTGGAATATCCAAACAATGGAATATTACTTGGCAATAAAAAGAAATGGTGTACTTGACACATGCTATAACATGAACACTGAAAACATTCGAAATGAAAGTAGCCAGACACAAAAGACCACAGGCTGTGTGACTGCATTTTTATGGAAATGACCAAGCAAATCTAAAGAAACAAAAAAGACAAATCTAAAGAGACAGAGAGTAGATTAGTGGTTTCCTAGAGCTGGGAGGGTTGGGGCGAGGGGGAAGTGGGCTTCTAAGTAATAAACCACTTTTTCAATTTAAAAAATTATTAATCTCATGCAAAAGTACTTCAATAAACCTGATGAGTTTACTTTTAAGTGAACATCTCACAGGGAAATGTTAATTATGGTCATTTTTGTACTTAGTGAAACCGAGAGATACGGATGGAAAGAGAATTCCTAACTGTCCCAAAGGGTATTTGGAAAAGTGAGGAATCTGAGCAAAATTAACTTGGATCCCAAATGCACCCACTTTGGATTAAGAATTAATAGATGATCCTAAGGAAATAAGCAAACCTGTGCACTGTGGCAGAAACAATGCTGTGCATTCCCCACATGGTTTTATCTTTCTGAGCACAAGAGATTATCTTCCCCAGCCTCCTTTGTAGGCAGGTCAGAGACAAGAGTTTCTGGATCGTGGGTGGAAGTGATGTAGGCCACTTGCAAGCCTAGCCATAAAAATCCCCTGTGGGATCCTCCAGCTGTTTCCCTTCTGTGGCAACCTCAGAGAATATGTGTCCATGTTCCAGAGTATTCTCATTTTCCTAGAGATGCAGAAACACTTCAACCCACAGATCTGTAGCATACGTTTTGTTTTCTGGACTAGTATCTGACATACAGCCATGTGTCTCACACAAATGTGGCCAGTTTGCTCTTGGTTTCTACTGCTAGGATTTCAATGGAAGAATGGCCAGAGCCTGAGTTTCCTACAGTTTCCTCTTTTAACTTCTCAAGACTATGAACTATCACCTTTTATAGATCTTGCATTTCCAGAGCATCTAGGAAAGATTTCATCTTCATCTTTGAGAAGGATTATTAGAGAAAGGATAAAGAAAAAATGAGGCAGTTTCCTCTTCCCATTATCCATCTCACATGTGGCTTTCAATTATTGTACTTAAAAATACAGAGTGCATCCTATGACAGCATCTTAGATATATAAAATATGTGTATTTTTTTAATCATCTATTTTTCTGGTTTAAAAAAATTTAAATACAAGGAGAAGAGAAGTTCAGTATAAAGACCCATTTCTTCTTAAAACAACTGCATAATGGCTTTCTAAACATCAGAAATATATGCTCCTGATAAAAATATTCACATGTAGACTTACCTCTATATTATATTCCACCCCATCTGTGTTGATTCTTATTGTAATATCATCATCTCCTATGTGGGCTAGAACCCTAGAGTCAGGCTCACCTTAAGAGAAAAAAAAGTCATTATTAAAAAATATTTAAATCAAAAAATAAACTATGCACTATCAATAAAAATCAAGCAAGCCCTTCTACAGAGTGGAATGTGCCCAGGCACTGTGGAGATGTAAAAAACACAGGCCCAGAAAGCAGCTGGGTTTTCTCACTCTTAAGGAGGAGCCACAACTCTAGTCATTTGAAATCGGCCTCTTTCCCTGAAGCCTCTTATGAGAATTATCTAGTGTGTTACAGAACAAAACAAACAAGGGTACATTTTCTTCTGGAATAACTTTACCTACTTTGGGGTAAGAAAGAGGAGGCAGAAAGCATGATTCAGAACATACAGGTCTTGAACTGTACTACTTGGGTATTTTAGTGCCATTTTTTTCATATTGCAGAAAATTTTCCAGAAGTAAACTGCAGTTGCTTAATATATTTTCTTAAATAAATACATGACAGGATCACAGAGTCAATTATTTTATCTCCTATCTTCCTTGTTTACAATCTCATAAGGGAAGTCGACAATCTCACAAGGGAAGTTGACAATCCCTCCCTGAAGACAAAAGGTTAAATTCGTATGACTTAAGAGGAAATCTGTTGTAATCATGAAAATAGCCAGTTAGTATGACATGCTGGATAATACCCATTTCCTCCTGTTTTAATGTTTCTGCTTCCAGATTTACAAAGCTCAAATAAAACAAACAATAGCACTTCTTTGACACCCCTTTTTCCTCCCCTCAAAAAAGAATATACAATCTAGTTCAATCTGGACACCTAAAACCCAAGCACAAAGGCAAACAAATGAGCACCTACTAACCAACCACATGTCCACTGAAGAAGTCCTGCCATTTGACGGGGTACTCGCTTTCATCTTTCCCATCTACCACCACGACTTTGAAGTTTTGGGAAAAGCGTTCAGTACTTGATGTCAGGTATAATTTAAAATGCCTAAAGAAAGAATGCATCTGGACTTGAAGCACATAAAACAGAGGCCTAATTTTCATTTAATTAAACTTACTTAAGAAAAAAGTTGACATGAGTTTATATTAACAAAGTACTATGCAAGTTATAACTACTGTTTTACTTAGTTATAAGGTACTTAGAGTGTTATCTCCAGTAAAGACAAAACAGACTAGTTTCTTTAGTTGTAAGAACTTGGCAGACCAAAAGGAACTAAAAGTGGGGGGGGGGGAGATTCAAAGAGCTTATATATTCATCTTTTCTGGAGACTCGGAAAAATAAAGAAACACAACTGGATAGTTTAAGCTGGAGTTCTGCTTATCTTAAAAATTTAGGGAAGACTGATATTACTGGATACCTTTTATTGAACACCTACTCAGTGCTAGCTGCTGTACACTGTCTCCACCTCACACAGTAAAAACTGAGATTAATCAACATGCTCAAGGTTCCACAGCTGATAAACAGAGGAACTGAACACTGAACCTGGCTTTTACTTCAAACGCCTGCACTCCACTGCCTCCAGCAATCAGCTGCTCTTACTGCTGCACAAAATTAATAAATATGCTACTTTCCATGTTTAAAAGCAGCCATGCTTCTTTTCTCCTTCTAAAGAGAACTTACCTTGAAAAAAGTAATCCACAATTGCCACGAGGAAAATAAGTATCAGGTATCCAACAAAGATATCAAAATACACACTCCAGTTCTTTAGTTGGTTTAAATACTCTTTTTTTTTTTTTTTTTTTTTTTTTTTTTGTGGTACGCAGGCTTCTCACTATTGTGGCTTCTCCCTTTGCGGAGCACAGGCTCCGGACGCGCAGGCTCCGCGGCATGTGGGATCCTCCCGGACCGGGGCACAAACCCGTGTCCCCTGCATCGGCAGGCGGACTCTCAACCACTGCGCCACCAGGGAAGCCCTAAATACTCTCTTGTACAAGTTTCATTCCTGACATAAAAACTGGACATGGTGAGCAAGAATTTTCAATGATCATTTACAAAATTCTTTCAATGTACCCAAGAACACCAAAGATAAAGGTATGGTTTTTATCTCAGCCACAGGAACTAATTTTGTCAGCTATGGTGTTGAAAATATAAAATGTTACAGGTTTGGTAAATCGAAACTGCCAGGAAGAATCCAGAGTGGGACTATCTCCATGGCAACACTTTTTTAACTTTTTGAGCATAACAAGGTAACTTCAGTTTGTTTGTGGTTTTTTTTAATGGTCATTGGGAAGGAGACACGATAGAACATAATCTCAGAAAACCTTGGAACATTTTCTCCTGCTACCTTAAAACGTACCTTCCCACACACAGTTATGATTTTTTTCCCGTCAGTTATGCTGAGAACTTTGAAAAGAAAAGCATCCCTCCTGGGAATTCCCAGTGGTTAGCACTCTGTGCTTTCACTGCCAAGGGCGCGGGTTCGATCCCTGGTTGGGGAACCAAGATCCTGCGAGCCGGGTGGCACGGCCAAAAACAAACACAAGAAAACAGAACAACAACAACCACCAAAAAGAGCATCCCTCTTATGAATGCCTTATTAGTTAGTTTTAGACTATCTAGGAGTCTCAATACTATTTTTGCTTAATGTTCTTTCCAGGAAAATCACTAGAATTGCACTCTTCATTTTCTACATTAATCTTCTATGTCATAAAGAAAAGGACCAAGTGTTGGTAAAATTCCTGTTTTTTGAGTTTCCAATCTTCACCTTTGAGCTATAAAACCTCCAACAGGATATGTCAGTCAGAACTTATAGTTTACTTTATCCTTCCCAAATTATGTGAAATCGTGTACTTACAGACTTCCTTTAGCAATTTATCTTTCTGACTTTCAAGGATTTACAGTGACTACAAACTGGTGTTAATCAGTCTGAATTAGCATTATTTTCGTATCTTTTTCTGGGGTATATACTGTAAAATGATCACCACAATAAGTCTAGTTAACATCCATCACCGCACATAGTTTTTTTTCTCGTGATGAGAACTTTTAAGATCTACTCTTTTAAGGTCTAACTTTCAAATACGTAGTACAGTATTATTAACTATAGTCACCATGCTATACATTATTACATCCTCATAACATGTATGTTATAACTGGAAGTCTGTACCTTGTATCTATTTTTTTTATAGTGTTTTATTTATTTTTGGCTGCGTTGGGTCTTAGTTGCAGCACGCAGGCTCAGTAGTTGCGGCGCACAGGCTCAGTTGCCCTGCAGCATATGGGATCTTAGTTCCCCGACCAGGGATCAAACCTGCGTCCCCTGAAATGGAAGGTGGATTCTGAACCACTGGACCACCAGGTAAGTCCCCATCATATCTATTTTTAATGGTCCATTTAGCTGGGTATATATCTCTCTCCTTCCTTCCTCCCTCTTTCTTTGTGGCTACATTGGGTCTGCATTGCTGCACGCAGGCTTTCTCTAGCTGTGGCGAGCTGGGGCTACTCTTCATTGCAGAGCACAGGCTTCTCATTGCGGTGGCTTCTCTTGTTGCAGAGCATGGGCTCTAGGCGCACGCGGGCTTCAGTAGTTGCGGCTCGCGGGCTCTAGAGCGCAGGCTCAGCAGTTGTGGTGCTCGGGCTTAATTGCTCTGCGGCATGTGGGATCTCCCCAGACCAGGGCTCGAACCCATGTCCCTTGCACTGGCAGACGGATTCTTAACCACTGTAACACCAGGGAAGTCCCCACTTTCATTTCTTTATCAGTTCTAGCCCTCTTCAAATATTTTGAGATATTTCACTTTTTGTTTGCTTGTTTGTTTTGTAACAATAGAATTTCATTTCTCGTGGTTCTGGAGGCTGGGAAGGCCAGGATCAGGGTGCTGGCAGATTCAGTGTCTGGTGAGAACCCACTTCCTGGTTCAGAGACAGCTACCTTCTCACTGTGTCCTCACATGGCAGAAGGGATGAAGGAGTTCTCTGGGGCCTCTTTTATTTCATGTTTTATTTTATTTTTTGGCCACATGGCATATGGGATCTTAGCTCCCTGACTGGGGATCGAACCCACGCCCCCTGCAGTAGAAGTGTGGAATCTTAACCACTGGACCACCAGGCAAGTCCCTGCGGCCTCTTTTAAAAAGGCACTAATCTCATTCATGAGGGTTTCACCCTCATGACCTAATCACCTCCCAGAGGCCCCGCCTCCTAACACCATTGCATTGGGGGTTAAGATTTCAACAGATGCATTTGTGGGGATACACACAGTCTACAGCAGTCATTTTCACAGTGGACCACCAGGTCAAAGGGGCATAAACACCCTCCAGTTTCTGTTTCTCCTGAGGCCTGGGAATTCATCTCTTCCTAGGTTCCTGTGTATATTTCTTTTCTTTTTTTATTGAAGTATAGTTTATTTACAATATTGTGTTAGTTTCAGGTACACAGCAAAGTGATTCAGTTATATATCTATATATATATGTATACATCTATATTTTTTTCCCTATTCTTTTCCATTATAGTTTATTATAAGATATTGAATATAGTTCCCTGTGATACACATAAATCTTTTATTTTATATACAGTAGTGTGCATTCTGTAAATCCCATAATCCCAATTTATCCACCCCCTTCCCCTTTGGTAACCATAAGTTTGTTTTCTACATCTGTGAGTCTGTTTCTGTTTTGCAAGTGAGTTCACTTGTACTAATTTTTAGATTCCACATATAAGTGATATATAATAGGTATAACTTTTTCCAAAAAAATTATAACATTATCAAAATAGTATTAAAACAATATTTGTATTATTTTTTTTAAATTAACAAACTGTAATTGTTTTCCCAAAGATACATTTTTTTTTCATATACACCCATCATACACTGTAACCCAAAAAAGCAGTGTACATGAAATAAGAGAAAATAAATTAAAAATCCTTACCAAAGCATAGGTAAGGAGGCTCTAGGCTGGAGCACAGCTGAGTTTCCAGCAATATAAGGAGGCTCAAAAGTTTCTTTTAAGAATGCCTGCTAGCAAGGGCTCCAGCCAGGTGGTTGGTCTGTAAGTCAGTCTTGAGTACTTGAAACAGTTCTGTGGTTTTTTTTTTTTTTTTTTCTTAGCATTTAGAATAGCCATCATTGTCCTGCAATAGGCAGAGCTATTACGTCCAGGAAAAATGAGGGAGGGAACCACAGAGGCAGCGTGAGATCCAAATACAGCATTCAAAGGTAATTGGTCCAGTGGTGCCTAGGGAAGGAGGAAGGGGATGGCACTCCCAGGTTAGCCATCTTCCTTCAGGGGTGTGTACTAGCCGTTTTCTTCATGGATCTGCACCAAGGACTTGTAGGACTGCTGTGCTCTTGTCAGGCTGTATTGAGATTTGCTGGCTCCAAACTGCACTCGTGCTTTTCCCTTCACCAGTGTGGCACTGATCTGCATGATCACTGACTCTATTCACTGCTCCAGCCCTGCTTGGTGAGAAGTTCCATGCAGATGGCACCTCCGCCCAGAACATACCCCCAGGAGAGGACTGGAGACACAACCCTGACAAACGGCGCCTCAAAGGGAAAGTTATCTTTAAAAGAAAAGTTAAGTAGAATGAAGTCAGCTCCTTTTTTCTCTTTGAGGATCTGGAGATCGTTGTGCAAAGTGCTGTCCTGGTCAGCTTTGAGGAGTCTGACATTCCAATCATACAGACTGTCATTCACGAGTTCGACTGCATAGTTTCCACCTCTGAAACTCTGTGATGGGTATATATCCCTGAGCTCCTTCATCAGCCGGTCAGTAGCCTGCACGGAGACAGACAGCGCACCATTTAAGTAATCTTGCCTCAGGTTCTTTTTAATTTTCTCTGGTATGGCCAAGTCTTCTTTTCCGATGCCGTCATCTTCAGACTTCTTGCCCTCAGCTGGCTCTTCTTCTTTCATTTCATAGTGATCAGCAGCCAAGTTAGGGTCATCGGACTCCACTGACCAGATGGGGGCACAGCAGGCTACGACTCCATGATGTTGCAGTGGATGCAGACGGGATCCCCAGGCACTGACCCCCGTGGGGGGAGATGCGGTTCAGGCGCGGCCCCCTCACCTCGGCCCCTCCGGCCCCAGCCAGCAGGAGCTCGCAGCTCAGCTCGTCCAGGCAGGCGCTGGCAAGGCGGAAGCGCTCGTGGCCGCAGTGAAAGGTGGACTCGGGCAGGGCCCCCGCCCCGGACCCACCCCCTGGTCCGGCCCCCGGTGCCACTCCCTGGCCCCCCGGCTGCTGCCCCTGCGGCTGCCCCTGCGACTGCGGCTGCCCCTGCGGCTGCTGCATCCTCCGCTCTGCTCCGGGGCCAGCGAGCCGGGAGCCTCCGGCCTCCGCCGCCACCGCCCTCATTACTTTAATAGTAATACTATTTCTTGATTTATAAAAAAGAGGGACTATAACTTCTGGGTAAATTTCAAAGTTTTTTTTCCCCATAAGATTACTCTTTAACTCATCATACAATCTCTCAGTGTTTCCATGCTTTTTCAACCATTAATAATCACATCAAAATTTAATGTTATGATCTTAAATTATTTTGCTTTCATCTACCATCTAAAAACAGAACATCTCATTTACCATCACCATCAAATAATGAGTGGCTTCATATAGGCAGTTCAGCCCTCTACAATTTGATCATTTCAAGTATCCCATTTTTTTTTTCTTTTAAGCTTCAATAACACAGTATAACAGAAAAGAAAGGGTATGGGCTTTGGATTCTGACATACCTGACTCAAATCCCACCTCCACCACCAACTTGCTGTTTGATCTCGGCCTTAACTTCTGAACCTAATTTATCTTCATCTATAAGTGGAAGTAATACCAACTACTAACTGAAGAGTTTTGAGGGTTAAATGAAATAAACTACTTTAAAGTACCCGGTACAAAGTTCTCATATATTGTTAGATACATTTCCTGTTAAACATTTAAGATGAAAATTTAAATTATAAATTTCTCTGCTTCCTTACACAGAGGGAAGATAAGGAGATGTTGTTTAACATTTCCTTAATGAATCAATGGCATCTATGAAACACGAAAGAGAAGTATGTTAGGCTATGGCAGTGTCTGACCCTAGAGTAAGGATTCTACAGGCTACCTCAAGTCTAACTTCAAAAGAAACCCAGAAAACTAAACTTTGAGTTCATATCATTTTAAAGTCTTCTCCCGTCCTCCTTTGCTCCTACTCATTTCTTGCTGCTGCGTCTCCACTCCTTTGTCAAACTCTTCATCAGCATAGCAGAAATAACACAAGTTTTGGAAGTCAGACTTGTGTTCAAATCCTTTAACTTCCACTTTCTAGTTGAGTGACTTTGGGCAACTTACGTAACCTCTCTGAGCTTCAGTTTTTCTTTGCCTTCAAAAAGGGAGTAACAAAGACTTCTACGCAAAGTATGGTGAGAATTAGAGATAATATATGTAAAGTGCCTACTGAAGTAAATACCTGATAAACTATAGCTATTATTAATATCACCACTCTGCTCAAATTTGCTATAGGTGAAGCTAGATAACCTATACTGCAATATCTTGACATAAAATCCAACAAAAAGAAATCATTCAAAAATAATCTTCCCCGGTGGCTCAGTGGTTGAGAGTCCGCCTGCCGATGCAGGGGACACGGGTTCGTGCCACGGAGCGGCTGGGCCCGTGAGCCACGGCCGCTGAGCCTGCGCGTCCGGAGCCTGTGCTCCGCAATGGTAAAGGCCACAACAGTGAGAGGCCCGCGTACCGCAAAAAACAAAAACAAAAACAAAAATAATCTAAGGATGATGGCAATAACTAGGAAAAATAAAAAGATATAGTAAAAATATTTGCATAAAATATCAGTAACACATGTGATGATGGATTCATTTCCTTAACACCAAGCACTACTACAATTCAGTAACCCAAAGGATAAACCCAATAGAAAAATGGTAAACAGATACGAAAAGGCAGACAGAAAAATAACTTATAAACACATGAAAAGATGATCAACTTTACACAAAATTAAAATCAAAACATTTGTGAGGTGCCATCCCCTTTCAGAGCAAGAAAAGTCAAAGGCTGATAAAACCTAGTATTGGCAAAAGGATAACAAGAAAGAGGTAAACTCACACACTGTTGCCAGAAGAATAAATTGGTCTAATGTCTTTAGGAGGAAACATGTCAACATCAATAAACATTTATAATATGTATACCCTTGATCCAGTACAGTAATTCACCTTTTAAGAATGTATCCTATAAAAATACCTAGATATGGTAAATGTATAAAGATATTCACTGGAGCACTGTTTGTTACAGGAAAAAAAATCACTTTGATTAAACAGTATCCATCTGTACGGTACTACTCAACAAACTGTCATAATTTTACGCAACAGGAAAATTTATGCAGCTGTTAAAAATGAGGTAAATCTATGTTATCTATATCACCTACATATATATAGATCTATATGCAAAAAATATGCATTAAAATCTTTTGGAAGTTTATACAGGAAACTTTCTGGGTCTGGGAAGTAAAAACTTCTCACACCCTCTATAGTTTTGTTTTGTTTTTTGCCACGCCACACAGCATGCGGGATCTTAGTTCCCTGACCAGGGATCAAACCTGTGCCCCCTGCAGTGGAAGCATGGAGTCTTAACCACTGGGCCACCAGGGAAGTCCCTCTGTAGTTTGTTTTTTAAATCAGGTGCATATATTACTTTTATATATGTGTTGGAGAAGGCCTACCCTATGTGTAAAGAAAAAGCCCATTTATATGTTCCCAATGTTTGTTATTTGATATTAGTAAAGCTCCCTAAAAACACTTTAGAAAGAGGCCTGTTATTATCTAACACATTTACATCTGCAAAACATGAGATATTAAAATTAATGCCCAAATAGACCACATCTATCAGTTTGTGCTATGACATAAGAGCAATTCAATGTGGAAAGAGACCCAGCTCACCACTAGGCTGTGGAGTCCTAAACAAATCCTTTATCTCTAAACCTCAGTGTCTTCATATATAAAATTAAGACAGTACTTAGTATAAGGTGGACAATTCTAAAGTAGCACAAAAGTATTATAATCATTCAATTAATTAAAATTCTTTGTTAGAATTCCAAAAAATAAATAAATATACCATCATTAATTCCTTTGGAATACACATCTACTTTTTAAAAAATAGTCATTATATGAATTTTAGAATAAGCAATACACTATTATAAGAATCATGACAGACTATAATTATATTACAAATCTTTAAAATGTAACTTTCTAAGATTTAATTAGACACTCCAATTTTTCTGCTTTTACCAAACCAAGTTCCTCATTGCCCCAACATTATTCTATGAATAATTCAAATTACCTTTTCAAGGCTGAAAAAATTAGTAGTGTTTCTAAGTGTGTTGAAGCCTGTAGATCCCTTTTTCTTACAGAGTGCTGTTGGATATTGGATAAAGAGAGGATATCGTAGTCTGAGAGCAAAGAATCAAGCTTTTCTGAAATAAAGGTAAAAAGGTTATTAACACCTAAACCTACTAATCAATTGTAATATCATTAACATGAGAGTCAGACAACAAACTCTTCCTGATGTAATGCCCCAGCACGACCTACAAAATACTCTTACCAAACACACATACACATACACACACACACACACACACACACACACACATACACACCAGTTTTTAAGACAAAAAGGGATTAGAGGTTGCCAAATTAAATAACAACTTTAGGAAGTAATCAGCCACACCCAAAATGTTCCATTTCTGCAAAACAAATGACCCAATTTCTCCAGGAAACAAATGGCATGAGAAAGAAGGGAGGTGGAGACAGAAGGACTTAAGAATACAGCAAGCAAGCCAGTGTGTGAGCCATTTTGGATCCTAGGCCAAGCAAATCAGTTGTGGAAAGATATCTGTGACCATCAGGGAAATGTGAACATGAGTCCATGTTCATATTAGATGCTAATAATTTTGATATCTCAGAGAGTATCACAGTATGCAGTGAACTAACTTCTAAATTCAAGGCATTTCTGGCTTGTATGGTTAGAATTTTTAAGATCAAGCCTGCCAACTTGACCTGCCCACTGCCCACTTGGGCTACATCAATTCCTTATCAGCTGATGTACAGTAACAAAAGAGCAACAAATGTATTAATGGCCTGAGGAAACCAAACTGGGAAAGTAAATCTTTTACAGAAAATCTTTTATAGAAAAACCACATATTCCAAATTAGAGAGCAAAGAAGTGGTAATATCCCTATCATTGTTGCCCTCAACAGACACAGCAGAATATCAATCCACCAGACAGCAGGAAGTATAAGTGGTAAGACCAAGCCAATCCCTAGGAAAAGAAAAACATTAATTATTTTACCAGGCTGACTTGGAACCCAGGAAAAGCAAAGATGGACTGCCCCAAAGATAGAACAAGCACAAATAAGTTTTTCTTTGGTATAGAGCAAGAGAAAACACTATAGAGTATATGCTACCCCCATAAGTCACTCTTTATCAACAGCAACTCAGCTGTCTCTCCCACAATCAGGAGGATTTTTGGAAGACAATTTTGGTGACTTAAGTCTCTGTAAAAACTGTCTAAAAATATTTGAGCTGATGCTTTCCTTTTCTCTCAACAAATATCACTGGAGAAGCAATGGTATTCAAAATCATTCCACTGGACTTAGAATGTCCTCAAAATATAGCAGCAGGAGCTTAAAATACAAGTGTGTTGCTACTGCAGTTAAATATGCTCACAAAACCATTTTTAAAAGAAAGAATCCACCCAATACTTTTCTCCGTCCTCTTCCCCTGAATAGCCTCAATTGGCTCTTTCATCCGTTCATTCACTGCTGTGTGCCAGGCCCTGGTCTAAGTACTGAGATACAGCACTCAACACAGCCAAGTCCTTGCCTAAAGCAGCACTCATTTTAGTGGGAGAGACGGACAATGCAAAAGAAAATCCACGTCAGTGCCATGGTGTGAAAACAGGACAGCAGAGAGGCAGTGGGAAAGGCCAATTTATACAGAGTGGTCAAAGAAGGAAAAATGCCCCACTGTCACACAATACTCTAGCCAATGTGAAGAGACACACTACTATATGGTTAAAGCAATTTAATCAAAGTCCACTCAAGGCTCTAACTCAAGATAAGATTAAAGTGGTAGCAAATTTCACACTTGCTGGGTACCACCCATTTTCTGTTAACAAAAATTTCCTTTTAATTTTAATCCAGAGGAAAGCTGTTTCAGAAGGCATCAATCTCTTTTATGCCAATGGATGTTTATTGGTGATTTGGCCTTGCTAATTACAATGCTTCGAGGCACCAATGAAAAATCTTCAAGCAGCTTATCATTTATTCAACAATTTTTGAGTGTTTTGTTTCCCACAAGACACCATACTAGGTGTTCTATGTTATCTACACAAACACCTTGGGGTATTTTCCCCATTTTACAAATGAAGAAACAGACTCGGAGAGAATAGTATCACAAAGCTAACGAAGCACAGTACTAGGGTTTGAACTGGGGCCTGTCTGGCTGAAAACCCCAAGCTTTATTGATTTCAACTTTTGAAACTGCTTAAAAATAGCCTACCTCTTCCTGCACCTTCCACTTCTTGGCCTCCTACATTTTGACATGTCAATCAAACATGAGCATGCCTCCCTCTGAATTCTGAAGCTTTTTGTTTACACCTTTTTTTCTGGCATTTTTTAGTTGTATTTGTCTTATCTCACAAATAGACTGTAAAATGGCCAAAAATGAGCTGTTTTAAAATCACAGTATTCTTACCTCACAACACCTGGCACAGAACCTTGCACAAAACAGCACTCGTTTGCTCAAATTCTCAACGCTGATACAATCCTTTAGCTCTTCGACTTCCCTGATACAGGCTGGTACACAGACTCACTTTCATTCAAGATCATAATCACTGCCACTGAGAAACTTAACCTCAATTCTATAGTTTCACTGTCAACAATAGAGGCCAGCTGTTCTCAAAGAGTGCTCGCTACAAGCAGTCACCGCCTGGGAACTTGTTTCCCATCCCGGTCCCCCTCAATGGGAAATTCCAGGTGCAGAGCCCAGCCATCTGTGTTTAACATGCCTTCCAGGTGATGTTGATGCACACTACTCCAGTTTGAGAACCACTGAACTAGGCTAAACTAAGGAAATAAAGTGAAGAAAAAGACCTTTAAGCACAAAGATGTTCACTGTTCAGCCTTGTATTAGTTTTAAGAAAACTGGAAACGCAGTAAATTAATACCTGGCAAATAGAGAAGTTATAGCATTTCCAAATGACCATAAAAAAAAAAACTGCAATCATTTAAAATGCTGTTAACAACAGGTTTTAAGAACATGAGGAAACACTTATAATATTAAATAAACAAAGGTAGATTTTAAAAACTGTTCATACTGCATGACCTTAACTATGTATACAAATAGGGCTAGAAAAAACATAAGAGCAAGATAGTAACATCTTTGGTTATCCTTAGGTATTTTTCTATAATAAGCACTTTTTAAATGCAGCTTGCTAAAGCACTTTAAAATACTTAATATGTTTCAATTGTAATTTACTCCTTTTAATAACGAGAGGTCTCAAATTGGACTTCCGGGAGCCATTACAAACAGTGTGGTAAATGCTCTCTCTTTGTCCAACACCCTGAGCTCCTGCTCTTGCAGGTAACCTCTCAGATGCTCGGTATTTCACTGCACTTTACTTCCAAAATTCCAACCATCGGTAATCCAATTTTCTATAGCTTTTTCAACAGAATTTATATTTCCCCCCTATCCATATCCAAAAATCTTAAGTATAAACCACTAAACTTCTTACAGTAGAGTTTATGACAGTTTATACTAGACAATGCTACAAAAACTACCTTCCTTATCAGCTCAGTGTATGGTCATATTCTCCTGTTTAGAAACGCCACAGTGGCTGCCCAGCATGCTCTACAATGAGGACACTTTCCTTGCTTCCTACAAGTTGCTCCAGCGATCATCCTAAACAACTGAGCTTTTCTCATTTCGGCTGCTACAAACACATATTAGAAAACAGACACTATTCAAAAGGTCAGGCTAGAGTACTGTATTATTTAGGATCCCCTCCCCAAAGCTCTCTGCTCTTCTCTGCCACGTGTTAGTTTCCCTCACTGGGTCTCCTCTGTCTGGTCCTCCTTAGGGACCCTACCCTTACTCACTGCTTTTTTAATCTCTTCCACCCCCACTCCCATCCCTCCTTTCTTGCAAACACATTCTGCACATATTTTCCCCTTTCCACCAGACCCCACCTATTCATTTATTCAACAAAAAGTTATTGAAAACCTCCTACCTTCCAAGCACTAGGGATATTAATGGAGAGAAGGAGAGATACATTTCCAATACTGCGACTTTGGGGGAAAGAGCATCACACAAAAAATCATTATAAAGTATGTCACAAACCAAGGGAGAGGAAATGGAATTTACAGAACACAGCAGGAGCATGACCCCTGTCTGGCAAGCCAAGGATGCTTTTCCCAGGGAAACAGCACTGAAGTTAAGACCGAAAGGATGAGGAAGCAGCCAAGAGAACGAAAAGAAAGGACAGGGTTCTAAGTAGACGGCATACCTGTGCTGAGGTCCACAAGAAATACAGAACACAATACACTCAAAGAATTGAAAGCAAGTCAGTGAGGCTGGAGTGCAGAACGGCACCGCGGACATGAAGAGGTGTGAGGCTGCAGAGGCAGGCAAAGGTCTGGTCATGGAGGGTCGTGGAACTAAACAAAGGATTTTTGACTTTGGATAAGGGCAACAGCTATAAATTAGAAATTTCATCGTGACTGTGAAACCAAATGACCCTAAAACCAAGTTCCCCTGCCAAGTTTGTGATTAGCCTCTCTATCTGAAACTTTATTCTCTTTCTTGACCTGACTCTGTTGCCCTCAGGATTGAAGAGTATCACATAAAAGGCAGGACTGAAACCAAGCAGGACCCTTCAGGGCCCTCCCAGATAAAAAAAACTTTTTTTTTAATAAATTTATTTATTTTGGCTGCGTTGGGTCTTCGTTGCTGCGCACGGGCTTTCTCTAGTTGCAGCGAGCGGGGGCTACTCTTCATTGCGCTGCGCGGGCTTCTCATTGCTGTGGCTTCTCTTGCTGTGGAGCACGAGCTCTAGGCGCACGGGCTTCAGTAGTTGTGGCCCGTGGGCTCTAGAGCACAGGCTGAGTAGTTGTGGTGCACGGGCTTAGCTGCTCTGCAGCATGTGGGATCTTCCCGGACCAGGGCTCAAACCCATGTCCCCAGCATTGGAAGGCGGATTCTTAACCACTGGTCCACCAGGGAAGTCCCTACAAAAGCCCTTCTGTCCCGTTTCTGGTTTGTAGAAAAGGCTTTAGTCTCTCAGACCTTCCCCGAGTTCCAAAGAGCAGATTCAAGCAATTACTAATTAGAGAAGTGATGGAAGGCTGAAACAAAGGGAAAACGGTCAAGAAACAATAGAGAGTCCTAGTTCCTCCTCCAGGGATATACAGAACAA